CGAGCTGATAAAGGAGGAAAAGTCTGAACTCACCGTGGACAGTGTGACGAGCTGTCAGCTGAGTTGTGTTACAGGTGATGGTGTGAAACCAGCGGTAACTCAAAGGAACAGAAACAAGCGTCTTTATATCCTCGGCTGAGGAGATGCAGAACAGAGGAGGCAGCAGGGGGGCGGTGCCTCAAAATTCATGTCCTCCTATTTGGTAAAGCTGGACAGTCTACAGCAGCCCTCAGCACAGGAACTCACAGCAACACTCATATGCTGATTTCAGGTTATTAAAGGAAAACTTCACCCACACATTTTTAAATGGAAAAAGTCATGCCACTCTGTGTAGGGGGTAAGCACAGCAGCAAGCTTTGGGACACACTTTCCTCTCCGCAGCAGAAAGAGGAACTGTCATAACTTCTCATAACCACTCAGAAAAGTTAAACTTTCTCCCATTTTATGTTCCTCATATGTATTTATAGCACTTCTATTTAATCTGTATGTGCTGCTAGGCCTTCCTGAATTTTGTATATTGTGTTTTTATCATGAAAAGAAGTAACAGGTAAACAGTTCTTGTAATCATACGGCACAACTATCGAATGAATGTGTTTTCTAGTGACTAGAGAAAGATGCTCAGAAAATTAAGTCAGTTAAACTTCAGGGATATCAATGTGTCCATTCAGGAAGCACAAGTGATTGTGAATCAGTTTCAGCAGCTTTGGTGCAAATCAAAGTGACAACAGGTGCAATGGAGAGGCAAAAGCAAGACAACCCCAAAAAGGGAATGGTTTTACATGTGGTGTCCACAGACAGTTGCTCTCTCCTTCTTCCTGACTGACTGTGCTCTAGTTTGGTCTTCTGCTAGTGTCCTTGTCACTACTGGTAGCATGAGGCGGCACCTGCAGCCCAGTCAGGTAGTCCAGCTCCTCCAGGATGGCACATGCATACATGCGGTCACAAGAAGGTTTGCTGTTTCTCCCAGCACAGTCTCAAGAGCATGGAGGAGATAACCGGAGACCAGCCGTTACACGAGGAGAGCTGGACAGGGCCATAGAAGGGCATCATCCCAGCAGCAGGACCAGTATCTGCTCCTTCGTGTGAGGGGGAACAGGAGGAGCACTGCCAGAGCCCAACAAAATGACCTCCAGCAGGTTACTGGTGTGCATGTTTCTGACCACACTGTCAGAAACAGACTCCATGAGGGTGGCATGAGGGCCTGACATCCTGTCTTGGGACCTGTGCTCACAGCCCAGCACCGTGCAGCTCCATCATTCACCAGAAAACACTAGAACTGGCAGGTCTGTCATTGGTGTCCCGTTCTCTTCACAGATGAGAGCAGGTTCACACTGAGCACATGAGACAGGCGTGAAAGAGTCTGGAGACGCCGTGGTGAACATTATGCTGCCTGTAACATCATCTAGCGTGACTGGTTATCGCGGTGGGTCAGTGATGGTCTGGGGAGGCATGTCCTTGGAGGGTCACACAGACCTACATGTCATAGCCAAAGGTACCCTGACTGATGTTAGGTACTGGGATGAAATCCTTAGAGTGATTGTCAGACGTTACTCTGGTGCAGCGGGTCCTGTGTTCCCCCTGGTGCAGGAAAATCCTCGGCCTTGTGTGGCCAGGGCATGTAGGCAGTTCCTGGATGATGAAGGCATTGATGCCATTGACTGGCCCCCTCGTTCCCCTGACCTAAATCCGATTTAGCACCTATGGGACATTATGTATCGGTGCATCTGACGCCACCAAGTACCACCAAGACTGTCCAGGAGCTAACTGATGTCCTGATCCAGGTCTGGGGGGAGATCCCCCTGGACACCATCCGCCGACTCATCAGCAGCATGGCTAGACATTGTCGGGAGTGCATACAGGCAGATGGGGGCTGTACACACTACTGAGTCACATTATGAGTTGGATCAGCCTGTGATTTAAATTTTTTACTTTGATTTTCGGTGTGATTTTGAATCCAGCCTCAGTGGGTTGATGATTTTGTGTTCCACTGACCATTGTTACTTCATTTTGTTCTCATCAAATTAAACAATCTACGTCAGTAAAGATTCTGCCTTGTTATGCAAGAAAAAAAACCATCATATCTCAAGATATTTATTAGCATGCTAGCTAATCCTTAATTTGTTAGTTAGCAAGCTAACAACAGCAAATGCAAAAATCTAAAATACACATTTATTTCTCTCGTATTTCAGGCAAAATACGACTCAACTCATTTGTGTTTGGCTGCAGTTTTGCTTTTTTTAATAAGCAGATGAATTTCCCCCATAAAGTCTTTTTTTCTTACAACCATAAACATGTTCATTAAAAAAAAAAAAGAAATATAACACAAATTGCACCTTATACGTAACCGTGTCCAGAGTGGCGCAGACAAAGAGACACAGCGCTTCTTTTTTTTTTTCTCGCTTTGTAGCACAAACATGACAGACCGAGTGTGGCCTGCTAAAATGTCGCCATGGTTAATAGTAGATAATGAACCGTACACAGGATAATATATCCTCTTATAACACCTTTTATAACAGATTCTTTTAAAGCAATGTACACCCCAAAAGCATGATCATAAATAGTACATACACTGTGTATAAAAGAGGAACAAAAACAACCAGAGAAAGCAGAGCATGCCTTCCAGTGACAGATACATTCACTTTTTCTTTTTTTTTTTTTTTGTCTTTTTTCGCCATATTGACAGCCTGGACACGTACACAGACCATCCCATCAAATATCAGCTTCAAGATATTTGATCAGGAATCAGTTTTGTCCCCTCTGAAACTTTTTTTTTTTCTAAACAGGTCTACAGTTTATGTTGTAAAAAGACAACACACTGCGAGTCTCCACAACTGTATTAAAACTGAGATCAGCACAGTCTTCAGTGAGACTTCCAGCTTCAAGGAAAACTTGATTAACACTGATTGTGTTGGTGAGATCGGAGCAAAGGGTGCTCGAAAGCATCTGATCGCACAGACGCAGCAAGCAGGGAGGGACATAGTGCAGCTTAAATACGGAGACATCATCGCTGTTAAGCTGAGTTAGGGCCATAAAACTGAATATCACACTGACGGTTTCGATACTGTATGGACAGAGACAGAAAGAGAGTAAGAATATGCAGAAACACGTGGACGGTCTGAGTTAGTTGCTACTTGTTTTCGTCTGGTTAACAGGAAGGTTAAATGCTACTTTTCACAGCCAGAGCCGGGAGAGAAGAGGATGGAAGAGCTACTGTTTTGGTAAAGAAGAAGAAGAAGAAGAAGAAGGAGAGAGTACACTGGATGGCTCAGAGGACGTTGTGGACGGTTTGAGAGTGTGTGTGAGTGCAAGAGTTTCCCCACAGGTGCAATGAAACTCAGAGGAATTGAACACATCATATGTCCGAGTTAGTTTTAGTGTCACTTTATGATTGCAGAGACTTTTTTTCCACCTTTATGAGAAGAACATTTTTTGGAGGGGGGAAACACTAGTGTATGTGTGTGTAGCCAAGACCACACAGGTGGGAGCTGATACAGTGGCAGGAATGATTCACTCACTCACTCAACCATGCACACACACACACACACACACGCAGTCAGGAAAGAAAAAATGGCTTTCATCTAAACAAAAATGAACCATGAAACAATATTGAAAACAAAAACATGACATCTTCGATATCAATAACAACATCTATAATACAGCAATAATATCTATATATATATATGTAAAAAAAAAAAAAATTCAAGTCCTGACGTAGTAACACTGATGTTTCTGAATAAAAACAGATAGAAAACAAGAGGGAGAGACAGAGACAATACACTTATGGCTGATTGACATTTGACACCTCAGGTAAAGTAAACGTGACACCAGGGGCCAGGTGCATAAACAATGTGTACACACAGGCGTACACACAAAAAACGTGTGTACGCCTTTTCACACACATAAACTGATGAATATGCGACAGTAATATGTGCACCTCACCAGTCTTTAGATGAGGCAGGTGACACAGTTAAATGTAAGTTGAGAGATGGATAACACTGTTTTTAGGTTGTTTGCAAATTTTAGATTGTGTTACTATTTTTGCAGGCTACACGGCGACATGTAAAATGTCAACCACAGGCACATTTATAAAGTTCATTTTGAATAACTAAAAATAATCGTTCATTTTTTTTAAGCACTTTTTAAAGTCTGTTTCATCATAAGTTGTCCCTCAAGGATTTCGGGATCATAACAATTAACTAGGGCTGCCCCCTAATAGTCGACCAAACGTTAGTCGACCACAAAGGTCATTAGTCGGCAAGATTTCATTGGTCCCTTAGTCACAGAAAAAAAAAAAGAAGAAAAAAAAGTGAAACTCTATTAGGAGCTGCGCCTTGTCAAAAATAAATCAAAACCTATATGACTGGACCATGTGGCTATTTAATTTGAAAGGACAGACACAGGAAGTGTCCACGCTCAGCAGTCAGACAGGAGTCAGGTTAATTTCCAGGGCTGGTACCTGCGGTTATTCCACAGGCTAGTTAATAACATGTTGGGCAGGAAATCCAAAGTGTGGGATCATTTTGAGAAGGTGAAGGACGAACCCAAGGTGATATGTAAACTCATCTTCACTGGTCGACTACAAACATGACGTATCATCTGAAACATGGAAGTAGCTACATGCCCATTAGCCCACAGCGTCATTAACAGGCGGCTCGCTCAGTGTGTGACGTGCACTTGTAGATAAAATATAGGCCTATATTAATGAAGGTTCATTAGTATGGTTTTGTATTTCTCTGTAATGTAGCACAGTGTTAACAATGTTACTGATACTATTCTTTCTCACACCTTCAACTCAAACCATCGTGTTGCCCCGCCCGAAATTCAATAATTAGATTAATATCGTAAACATGCGGGCGACTAGTCGACTAATGGCCCTAAATGACGACTATTGGTCTACTGCGAAAACTCTTAGTCGGGGGCAGCCCTACAATTGACGCAAATTTAGCCGATCCCTATGGATTCTGCACGACCTTGCAATTTTGTCCAATCCCGCAACTTTACCACAAACTTGACTATTTAAAACAGGTAAAATCTCATTTCATTGTAGAGCTGCATGCAGTGTATTGATTCACTCAGCCCTTCTCTTCCTCTGTTTAGGGCTGGAGCTCTGTGACAGAGTCACACACACAGTGACAGAGCTAACTGATAGCATCACACAACTAATGTCACCAAATGGTTATTTACAAGTTTGGCGACAGTTGTGCCGTTTCTGTTTCTGTGTGAGCTGAACGACCGTTGCCGTGAGGCTTCTGCCCAAGAGGTACAATATGACAAGCAGCGATTAGATCACATTGTGCTGTGTTAGCTTGTTCTTTCCAGGCAGCGAGGGCAGGAGGACAGCCTTCATGGGGACGGTCCTTAAGCACTGCGTTGAACAGCATTAACAGCTGATGGTAGGCGATCAGGTGTTCCTGCCCTTCACCCCCAGCCATCACAAATAGACTCTACTTCCGTGGGAAACACTGAATGCTCATAATAATAGCTCTGAATCTGAGACAGCTTCACAACTATTTTTCGAAATTTTCACCTCTGCGATTTAAATTATTTAGAAAAGCTGTCATGAAATCAAGCATTTCAGGCTGCAACAGTCACAAGAACAGCCTGCGAAATACTGAAGGGACTGATGAGTGCTTTGAATCAATCACTGGTCATTTTTCTGACGTTTAATAAAAATGATGATTGCAATTTCACCACAGTGATTCTCAAATTCAATATTTGCTTAATTGTCATTAATTAGTGGTACAGACACTACAAATATCCACAGCTGTGTGTAATTACATGGCCCAAAAGTGGGTCACGAGTCCATTCTGAATGTGTCAAGTTCCTAAAAAATACACTTTATTCTGAAGTACGGTGAATTTCAGGCACAAAGCTTTTGTAATGAAGTACCGTTTCCGGCTGCAGAGTGAGTGACTAACAGAGAGCTATTTAACAGAGAGAGCAAACTAGCTCAACGACACGTCAAACGCAAGTATGACACTGAATATTTTAAAATACATGGACCTTGAACTAATGACTAAGGACAAATCATGACCCCATGGCTATATCAGTTGGGAACCACTGCTCTAGAGAACCTCTCCAATAGGACACAGTTTGGGAAATTGTACTTTCTTTACGCAGGTCTTATGAATGGTGAGACGGGTACAAGTATCGATATTCAAATGTATGGTTTTTTTTTTTTTTTTTTTTTTTTTTAGATCCTTTCATGGCAAACTGTGGGTGTGGAAATGAGACCTGTGTATGTGCACCCAGCGCCTCAATGATGGAAATTTATAAAACAGAATCAGGCATACGCACAGCTTTGTTGATCTGATGAAAAATAATGTGTATGTATATGTCTGTCTTTGTGCGGACACACAGTTTTACACAGAGTTTTATGCATCTGGCCCCAGACGTGTAGCTCTGTGGGCGCGGATCAAACACTTTTCCTTCTATTATTTCTCAGGTGTATAACCCGAGGACGCCCGAGGCTGGCTCTGTTCATCGTTAAATCAGAGAAAACAAAGGACAGTAAACCGAGCAAAACCAGCACAGAAACAAAAGTGGAACCTGAACACTTTAGTTTGCAAAATTGAAAACAGGAAATAGAGACTAATCAACAATGAACGACCCAGGAGCAGCACTGGAGTTTCTATTTACACATTTTTCCTCTGTAACAGAATAACAATAATAATAATAATTAATAATAATAATAATGTAACATATTTCTGTACAGTCTCTTCAAACTGATGTAGGAAAAAGTGTGATGGAGAAGCATGCAGCCTCGTGGCTGGTGTGTCCTGTGTAAACGTGAAAAGCAGACTTAGCTTGGCGCTGGTTACAGACAAAATGTCCGCCAGTTCAGTCAGTATGGCTACATTTCTTCTGGGTGGCTTTATCCACCTGCCCACATGCTAAAAAATAAAGATGGGGCTCTGTAAGATTTGGCTTTGCATGTGTGGGTTTTTCCTCTGTCTCTCACCAACCGTCCTTCCCTTCTTCACTCTCTCCTCTGACCGACCCCTGGTGCTCCAGCAGGGGTCAAACAGCGCTGAGATCAGAGGGTCAACAAACATGGCCGACTATTCACTTCACTCTGCTCCAGCATTCTTCAGTCCTCTTTTTCTTTGACCTGTCATTTTGTCCCTCTGTGTCATAGTTCCAGTCTTCTTTGATTCCCACAGCCCTCTGCTCTGACTGTTCCAGGGGAGGAGGGGTGTGGGTGCCGAGGAGGGGCAGCAGGCGACACCGGGCACAATCCTCGCCCCGTGACCAGCCTCATTCGACCCCGGACTCTCCCTCCTCCTCCTCCTGTACGCCACCCTGCACTCGAACAGGTGGCGGCTGGCGTTCCTTCCCTCCTCGGCTTCACACCATGAACTCGTTGCTGCCGTACAGAACCAGCTGCTGTGGCCCCGAGCTGAAGTCCGACTCCCTTCGGTGGCTTCCTGAGGGCTCACGTGGGGAGCTGCGGCTGAGCCTGAGCCTGTGACGGGTCTTACCGTGGCTTCCCTCTGCCTCAGCCAGCGGGGCCCCCAAACCACAGGAAGTGAGCAGGGGCCCGGAGGAGGAGGAGCGGAACCGGTAGTGAGGGGATGGAGAGCCAGAGGCATTGGAGGAGAGGGAGGAAGAGGGGTGGTAGGAGGAGGAAATGGTGGAGGTGGAGTCTGCGGAGTCCTGGGAGTCAGGCTGACGGCGCAAAGCTCGTCTGGTCTTTGCCTCCGACTTTCTGGCGCGATAAGTGCCTCGCTCTGCAGAGAGACATCAGCAGAGGTGTTAAAAGCACATTATCAATACTTCATCATACCTGCACCATCATACGGTCTCTCTAAAATCCACCGCAAAAGTAAAATTTTTTGACGTACTCCCGCCAAATTCATAACTGAAATATTACGGAATGTAGGAGCTTCCCATAGAATGGAAAAGAATGGACTCCTGGTTGCCTTGTCTCCGTACACATACGTAAGTGGAAACAAGGCGTTGGACATACTCACACATACCAGAGGGGTCTGATGTGGCTCCCTCCGTCTCCATGGTGATGTTCTCAGAGCTGTCCGCTGTGCCGATGGATGCTTCAGATTCAGGAGTCTCATCGTCGGACATCCGAGGCTCCAAGATCAGCATCTCATACGTCAGCTCCTCCCTGTCGACACACACACACACACAAATGCAAATTACAGATTATGTAAGTGCTTTATCTAAATCATTTCCTACTGCATGCAATTTAGACGTCCTGACTAGACGTACACATACTGTATCGGTGTGTCCCTGAAGGAATCAGTGTAACAGATTGCTGAGTAATGACATACAGTAAAAAGACAGGTGCTAAATCATACACAGCTACCAGTTCACACTTGTGTGTATATATATATATATATTTTGAGTGGTGCATCAGCTAAAATGCCAAACTGATTACTACCTTCTCTTTGTTTCAGTAGCTTGTGTACAAATTTTGTGTGACACATTAAGCAAAACACTTCAACTGTCATCGTCAGGCTCTGAACAGCTCAACCAGAGAGACGTCATACTTTTCTTTCTGCAGACTTTCGATCTGCTCTGTGAGAATTCGCTCCTCCTGCTGCATCGCCAGCTGCTGCTGCTCGTTCAGCCCAGCCTCTGCTGCATCCTCTCCTCCTCCTCCTCCCCCTCCTCCTCCTACTCCTCCTCCTCCTCCTCCTCCTGAGCCCTCTCCATCCACCACTACAGCGGCTGCTTTGGGGCTGAGAGGAGGCGAGGTCACGTGGGTGCTGCTTTGCCGAACACGGCCTTTGCTCTGCAAGTTCACAAAATCACAGGGCAAGAGAGTGTGTTAATGGAGGCTGCCGAATAATAATAATAATCATAATTTTTTGGTTGACAGTGACAGCGATGGAGCACAGACAGCAGACTTGCTATAGACACGGTTGGATGTTTTGACCACATACAGACTATACAGAGAATGCGTTGACGACATCAGTTCAGGACATCACGGCTAAGGCACTATGAGGTCAGCTGATTATCAACACACACACACATAAACACATCTTCTGCCACACACACACACACACACACACACACACACGCAGGTAGGCATTACCTTAAGTTTAGCTGTGTTAGGCTGCGTGACATTAAGTTGTGGAGCAGAAACAGAAAGCAGAGTCAGTGGAGCTACAGTCGGAGTGCTGCTCTCTCAACGTGCTCAACACAAACATAAACATGAACCAAAGACAAAACTACAGTTACAGCAGACCTGGTCTTGCGACTTCAAAAAGATACCGTACTTGCCAACGTTAACCAATTCTACTTGAGAAACAGGAAATAACAACCTTCATTTGTCCTCCAGGGACATTACTGCTAGCTTGATAGCACTGTTGTCACTCCTGACATTAGACGGGAGGTGCTAGCAGTAAGCTAGGTAGTTAGCTTGGTTAGCTTTCCACAGACACTTGGCAGACAAAGCAACAACACCATGACGGAAACTCCTCTAACAATTAACTTTACACAAACAGTAGAGCTACATTACGAGCCGGATCTAACAAAGAGAAATTAAATGTAGGTAAAAACCAATTCAACAATGTTAGCAGTATGCTAGGTAGATTAGCTTCAAGACTTCCATTAGGTGAGAGTTAGCTGCTTTGGTTTTAAAGCACAAGTGACTTCAAGCTTCATAAAAATCAACTTAATTCACATAATTCTTTGTTAATTATTATTAATTATATTGTCAATTAATCAAACAATTTCCCGAATTACCCGCTGTTAATTAATAGCATCTAGCCACAGCTAGTTAGCGTTAGCTGCTGTTAAAATCTCATTTGTTCACACAACACTTGGCTCATAAGTAGAATTGTGACAAAGACAACTTTTAGCTCAAAGTCAGTCCCAAGTCTGGAGACATAATTGAGTCCAAGTCAGTTTGTCTGTTTGGGGAGAAAGCTGATTTAGCGAAACAAAACCTTGCGTGAACAATGGCGTTCTCAGGAGCACATGTTCCCAGGGTCCTACTTATGACACATTCATTAGAATTTTCAAAGGGTTAAAATGTTTAATATATGTTTCCCCCGGTCAGTATGTCACAATCCACCTACAGCTAACAGCCTACTGATGTTAAAGGCTGCTCCTTGAAACCTTTACACTCAAATTTGTGTTCAAGACAGTTTTCTTGATTTTAGACATTGATATCTCCACAGTGGCTACACGGATTTTTACCATTTAAATTGCGTTTGAGACGTCCATCTCCCTTTGTTCTTTTACAGTATGAACTGTAAAGACGGCCCTAACAAATCTCTAACAATATTAGTTTATATCAACCACACCGGCAGTGGACGTCAATATGAGATTAGAAATACGTTAAGACTCTAAAAATCGGGTTAACAATATTATAAATGTCGAATGACAAAAAAATGAGGTAAGAATTTCATGTCGTGACACTGGCTTTTGAGACGTGACATGAGACGTTGGAAGACGGTGGATTTTGGTTACAACACAACTTAAAACCAACAAAATACACTGCCTGGCCAAAAAAAAAGTCACCACCAAAAAAAAGGTCATACACTCTAATATTTCATTGGACTGCCGTCTTTAGCTTTGATTACGGCACGCATTCGCTGTGGCATTGTTTCGATAAGCTTCTGCAATGTCACAAGATTTATTTCCATCCAGTGTTGCATTAATTTTTCACCAAGATCTTGCATTGATGATGGTAGAGTCTGACTGCTGCACAAAGCCTTCTCCAGCACATCCCAAAGATTCTCAATGGGGTTAAGGTCTGGACTCTGTGGTGGCCAATCCATGTGTGAAAATGATGTCTCATGCTCCCTGAACCAGTCTTTCACAATTTGAGCCCGATGAATCCTGGCATTGTCATCTTGGAATATGCCCATGCCATCAGGGAAGAAAAAATCCATTGATGGAATAACCTGGTCATTCAGTATATTCAGGTAGTCAGCTGACCTCATTCTTTGAGCACATACTGTTGCTGAACCTAGACCTGACCAACTGCAGCAACCCCAGATCATAACACTGCCCCCACAGGCTTGTACAGTAGGCACTAGGCATGATGGGTGCATCACTTCATCTGCCTCTCTTCTTACCCTGATGCGCCCATCACTCTGGAACAGGGTAAATCTGGACTCATCAGACCACATGACCTTCTTCCATTGCTCCAGAGTCCAATCTTTATGCTCCCTAGCAAATTGAAGCCTTTTTTTCCGGTTAGCCTCACTGATTAGTGGTTTTCTTAAGGCTACACAGCTGTTCAGTCCCAATCCCTTGAGTTCCCTTCGCATTGTGCGTGTGGAAATGCTCTTACTTTCACTATTAAACATAGCCCTGAGTTCTACTGTTGTTTTTCTTCGATTTGATCTCACCAAACATTTAAGTGATCGCCGATCACGATCACTGAGGATTTTTTTCCGGCCACATTTCTTCCTCGAAGACGATGGGTCCCCACTATCCTTCCAGTTTTTAATAATGCGTTGGACAGTTCTTAACCCAATTTTAGTAGTTTCTGCAATCTCCTTAGATGTTTTCTCTGCTTGATGCATGCCAATGATTTGACCCTTCTCAAACAGACTAACATCTTTTCCACGACCACGGGATGTGTCTTTCGACATGGTTGTTTAGGAAATGAGAAGCAACTCATTGCACCAGTTGGGGTTAAATAACTTGTTGCCAGCTGAAAGATAATCGCCCATGCAGTAATTATCCAATAGGAGGCTCGTACCTATTTGCTTAGTTAAATCCAGGTGGCGACTTTTTTTTTGGCCAGGCAGTGTATCTGTCATTAGTATTCAATGTCATATGTACGATGACATGAGACGTTGTCCTGACATTGAATTTTGGTCACTCAAGGTAACAACCCAAATTGAACCAAATACCAACGTCTAATGATGTTGGTGGCCAGCTGGGAAGAACATAGCCTGGGAACATAGGGATGACTCTGCATCCTCTGTGCAACGCAACGGTGACATGTTTTATGTGAAAGCCCAAATCATCCTTTAACTGTATAAATAAATTGATTGGTTTCTTGTTCAGTACATTCCTTTAAAAAGAATAAAAGAAAAATATAAAAAGTCCAAGTCTTCAGTCAGTAGAAAAAGTCAGCAAGTACTCATCAAGTCTTTAGACCCAAGTAAAAGTCTTGGCAGACGTTATCTAGAAACATCAACAGTGTCATGTCTTGTCATGTGATTTCCATACTTTAACCCTATAATGTACCTGCGGACAGCCACAATACACTACCTGAATACAACAATATCACACTGTTCTTTTGTTTTTAGATGTAAACTTTGAACTCAGGAAGAAAATGTGACAATATTAACAAGCAATGTTAATTTTGAGGGCTATCACTTTATTTAGGACCTTATAAATGATTCCACAACAGTGTTAAGCGACAACACTTGTCAGCTAAACAAGGTGTAATAAAACAGTTAGGAATGCACAAACAGCAGGTCAGACAGCTAGAAGAGAACTACAGACAGACGTGACGAGTACTGGGACTGGAGGCAACAGACAGTATGAGATCAGATAGACTGACGGACAGGACAGGACTGGTTGTGGCGGTGGGCGGGCACATGGAGTGAGAGGGGCATACATACCGGGGTGGCAGTGCGGGTTATGCTCATAAACCTAACCGCAATTAGTACAGGTTTCTGGAAGGAGGGGTGGGGGAAGGAAGGAAGGAAGGAAGGAAGGAAGGAAGGACAGATTAGGGTTAGGGAGAGGTGAAGGTAATAAAGTAATTGTGGATCTGGTGATTTGCAGGTTAAAAGACGTCCAGACATTTAGTTTAAATATGTTTGGGAAGTGAAAGTTGTTTAAGACACTCTAATGGGCACACCATCAGTAATAGTAATGGTGATAGTGGGCAACAGTGGCTCAGTCCACAGGTACTTGGCGTGGGTGGGTCATCGGTTTAAGTCCCAGTGGTAACCAAGTATGGAGCATGGACTGGTAGCTGGAGAGGAGCCAGCTTTCTCCTCCTTCTCCGTCTTCTTCTCTGTCTTATGCTCACAGTTGGCAAGTGGCCCAAAGCGCCATACAGTCTTTACAGTCCTTTTTGTTTTATATATAGATGGGGTTTTTTCTTTGAATAAAAGAAAAAAATATTTTTAGGGAGTTCTTTTTTAACATCGGCTGTGTTTGGGAATATGGTTAGAATTTAAGAGCAGGGACATGCGTTAATAATGGAGAGGTATTAGTCAACAGAGGCAGAAATGTTCTTATTAATGGAAGGTCTGCAGCACGTGTGTAGCCTTGACGATAAGAATTTAAAACCTGTAAGTTATTGTGTCCTGCTGTGTACATTTTTGAGGCACATGTATATCCCCTTGAGTTTTTGTCAGCTTTTTGCTTGTGTTACAAAAACACAGCAAAATCTGTTGATGGAAGATGTATGAATGAACTCCTGCCATGGCTGTAGGGAAACCATGCCAGCTGCTCAAGGAGCTAAAACACAACTGTTGTGTCACCATTTAAATGATGAGTGAGAGGAACAAGTCGGAAAAACATCCACATCAATGCCAGGCAGTAAGGAGTATATTGATAATAAGATCTTTAGCATAATGAACTGTGCACTGAGGCCCATAGAGGGCTGTTGTCTAATGACTGACAGTCTGATCTTACCATGGACCTCCTGATGTGGGTCAGTCTGCTCTTAGCTTTGCTTTCTGCAAACTCCAGACTGCTGATGTCCTTCAAGCGAGCTTTGTACTTGCCCATCTGCTCATTGATGATCAGCTCCACACACCTGCAGAGAAGAGATACATTTAGAAAGAGTTAACATGAGTAGAATAGAAGATGTGTTGCCTTGTTCTTAAGTTTCAGGATCTACACTTAGCTTGTTTCAAACTAGTGATTTCCTAAATTAGATTGCAGCACTAAAACATTTCTCAACTAGTAAAGCCTTCAGTCATATGTAAATTGGCAACTAGGTGGCTAAAGCATAAACTATGTAAGCAGGAAGTTAAACAGAAACTTTGAAGCTTGAAGCAGGCCTCCAGGAAGTGTGTCAGGCTTTGAAAACATTTTTGTGGAATGTGATTTGAAATTTTTCCAGTTCACACAATTATCAAACAGCTTTATTTAAAGAGTTCGCGGAAATGTGTCAACCGTACGCCCAGTTCAGACCAAAGATTCACAACGAGACGAAACCATTTTAGAACGCCGCGGAGAAAAGTTGCAGTGGTGTGAAGTGGCCAGTCTGAGCTCAACTCAAGCCGGCTGATGGTGTAACCTGCAACTCAGCTGGCAGCTGGTTTTAGAATGTGAAGCACATCACCTGTTTCTACAGAAAAACAACTTGAAGTGAAGTTGGTCAAGTCAAAATGACCGCAGACAGCGTGTTTGCTTGCTGCTGCAGGTGCTACGTCCCCGCCGAGCCCTCTGTTTCCAACACTGGCACACTGTGAGGACAGTGTGCCAGTGTTGGACTGTGGGTCGATGCAGCTGCTCGCTGTATGTGCTTATGCCCCCCCTCACACATTGTCGCTGACTGGTGCTGCTTACTTATGTTATTGTGACGTATTTTCATTGTTTCATCACTACTACAAATGCAACTGTAGCCAGTATCTCACTATCACTATCCTCATTCATATTCTAAGAAGCTACAAATTATGTTCAGCCAGAAAATAAGCCTGAAAAGCTGCAAATCAGAACAGAGGTACAGAGAGTTGTTGCATAGAGATGATACACTGTCTTATCTTGTTGCATTGGTGTGAAGTGCATTGCAAGTAGTTGCATGTTTCAGCTTGTCTCATTATGAATCTTTTGTCTGAAATGTGATCTCTTTAGTTTAGAGACTAACATCATACATTGGCATGCTCATGATATCTTTGTCAGCTGGTTCAGTTAGCTAAAGTTAAAACAATAAAACATTTGTTACATAACTGCCTGGAGATTTAAATCTGGTTAAAAATCTTCAGCCTCATGCTGCAATGTACTTTTGGTGTGAGATGTAGAGGAACAGCCTCTCTGGACTTCCCTTGAACCAGTATTATCAATGAACAAGACCCACCAGACCACTGGGGGTCAAATACTTAGGACTCACCCCTGCATCACCCCGACTGGACAACAACTTCTTTCAGCCATCCTTAGGCCAAAAGGAGGTAAAAAGTCACATGGGATCCCTCAAGTTTCAGATGCCATCTTAAAGTATCCAGCCTTGGGGCAAAACACGGTGATGAACGACCTACTAGTTGTCTAAGACAATGCCTCTTTTTTTTTCACCACATCCTGTCCCTTCCTGTCACCCCAGGAAAGCACGCCCTCCCCTCTCTTACCAAATGTTCTGTGTGACCAAAACTGAAATGTCTGTTGGAAGTGAAATTATACATTTTATCCATGTTAATGTGTTTGAAGTTGTAGAAATATAATATGTGCTTCCTCATTTTGTTTTTCATTATATGTTGTATGTTGTATGTCAAAGTATATGTCAAAGATATATATATATGTATATGTATATATATATATATATATGTGTGTGTGTGTGTGTGTGTGTGTATATATTTGTGGTATAATAAGAAGCATTAAGTTTCTTTTGAAATAAAGTAATCAGCATGTTTTACAACAAAGAAGACTGCCTTATCAGATCCGCCCACTTTGGCCGGTTAAAAAACGTGCGCTCTGGTGCGCCCTCTCTACTCTAGTCTTGCTGTCTCTTGTGTGTGTCTCCTGTTTTCTCTCATCTCTTCTTCTTATTTTTTTTCTTTTGTTTCTTCTTTTTCGTATCTTTACCTCTTTCGTATTTACGTTTTAGTTACGCTTTTATACTCTCACGATTAAAGTTATTTTAAACTTTTAAGTTTTGCTTATCCAGTTTTCTTTTATCTACAGTTTTTTTTTTAACATTTTTATGTGCGGTAATAACAACTTTGATAACAACATCGAACTGCCAATGATATTGTTTTCACCATTTTTATAAGCGAGTAATTGTAACAACGTAGACAAGTGCCTTTTTCAACCTGCCTCTTCACCCAAAGATTCATCAAACCCAGCGACTGCCAGCCACTTGCCGCAGTGGTTCTCGTGCCAAACCCAAAGGCTTTTTGCAGCGTAAAGGGAACGGACGTGGGGGTACGCACAAGACTTCACAGGCTCAACCGTTCCCCCTTCTGCAGTGCGCCTGCTGGTGCCAGTCTGCTGGAAAATCTGGGAGTTTGAAAGTGAAAGTTCGGGGCCCCAGGAGAAACATCTGCATGGTTCGCTGCTAAGAAGGGAGGCAACGAACTCCCCCTCACAGGTGACACACTGGGCAGTGGTAAGAGCTGATGTCGAATAGGAGATTTAATTAGGCCTATCTTAATCTTAATCTAGGACTCCTTAGATAAATATTTTGTGCATTCCTGTGTTCTGGTTTATCTTAACATACTCTCTCACTATCGCCAACTTACTTCTTGTTTTAATCCATTTATACATACTGTTGATTTTGTGTTATTTCATATTATCCTCATTCATTTATTCAGTTGTTACCCATTTAGCTTAAATACATTTTCATTTATCACCAAGTCGTTGTCTGTTGATATTTCTTTTGAGCAGGAATTAAGATCACTGTATGGAGGATTCATAACCCAGATACTGAGATTGATTCATTATTGATAAGCGTGCTGATGAATTAATAATTGGTTTACGGAGTAATTAATTTGATTAGTCGCTTCCCTCATTAGGAGGGTGGTGCCCCAAACTTTATTACGAGTGCAAACATTCTCAAAACGGTATTTCCCCCACAGAGACAAATAAGTAACAATGTAGGTAAAACAACAGAGTGAAATCGTTAGAAAATAGAAATGAAAACTGTGAAGTGAGGCACTTCTATTCTTTAAACTATTTTGATCCATGAAACTGTTTTTTTTGTTTTTGTTTTGTCCTGCTTAGTGTTTGGTTTTCTGTTTGGGTTAATATGTTGAGGATGTTTGAGGACAGTGGACATACGCGGTGGTTTTGCTGATGTCTTGGACACTCTGCAACGGGTCGATGGTGTCAGGGCAGCGAAGGATGCAGGGAGCAAACACAATGGCAAGGGCATTGGCTGACATCCTGTTAGTCTCCTCCTGCAGGGCGATCCTGAGACACACACCACAATGTAATCCTGTTAATCCTGATGTTACAGAGTATGACACACACTCCCAGCAAACACATCAGACAGGAATGTTTGAGACACAGACAGCTAATCCAGTGAGAATCTGAAACCACCGCTCAGACACTTTGTTTACAGGCAAAAATATTATTCAGATCTTATGTTAAAACTCAGTGTTTAGACAGAGGCTGTTTTGCCTGAGGCTGTACTGCTGACGTTGATTCTTGTCTCACCACCCACCTGACCAGATGGAAGATGAGGCGCTCCAGTGCGCTGAGGTGAGTCCTGCTGAGCTGGTCGATAACCGAATACACCCCTCTGATCACCTCCCGCTTGTCTGGCTGACCTGGAAAGAAAACGAACACACACCCTTGAACCAAGTAACATTTCACCTACTGAAACTGACTCTCAGCTGGAGGACAGACAAACAGCAAGAGGCTGATTATGAACTCACCCATGGCCCTGAGGAACTCCTCGTACAGTTCAAAGGTCAGCAGAGGGCTGGGCAGGTCCCGGAGCCACTGTTTGAGAACGCTGGCGATGACGTGGATGTTGTAGTCATCCAGGTTTACGCTGTTCACATCTGGAACACACAGATAAGCTAAGGTAAATTTACTTTCATCTTTCCCTTTTTCCTTTCCTCAGTATATTTAGAGGTACCTGTAGCAGTTGCAGATGAAGAGAAAGAAGACGACGACTACAGTGTTTCCACAACAGAGGCAAAAACTGAATGAATGAGGAATGAACATTAGTTAAATGAAAACACAGATATGTAATACTATCTTAGTCTCACCTGTGTCCAGTCCCTGGCGCAGTTCTTTGATCTTATTGGTGGAGCCCGACTTCCTGTAGATCCCCTCCGTGTAGAGGCCGTGCATCTCGATGTAGTTGATGAGTTTCTCCACCAGCTGCGGGACCGTTCGCTCCTCGCTGGTCAGACGGGACAACTCCACGCCAAACTGCCGCGACGACAGCTCCGGGTCGTACTTGTGTAGAAAAACACAGGCACAAACAAACATCACATTAAAATGAGTCACCTGTGTGTAACTTCTGCTCAGCAGCAGACTGATGATGAATGATACATTAAGTAAACTCACTCAGTAACTACTTAACTTTTCTTACAAGATATGCTAACATAGCCACCGTAAGATACTGGTCACACCAGACCAAGTCAGCCTGTAGCAGCAAAACCTCTGAGAGCACTGAAAGGAGCAAGGGTGCGTTTGATTGCACATGAAATTAACTTTCTTTTAATAAAGGAAGATTAATTTCTACTTTTAAAGGGTGCATAGTCTCACTTTAAGTTTGCATCTGTAATGGATCAGAGTAAATGATGCGTATTGATGCTTGTACTTAAAAGAAGACCTACAGATTGAACATGAAACGAGGTAAAAGAACAAAGTGTTAAATGTTTTAATTAGCTGACAAAGCATTTCTTCAAGCAGCAGCAATTGTTGTCCTTTTTCACCAAGGTTAAGGTCAAGGTAAACTTTATTATCACTGAAGGGCATTAAGATAAATACAAACAACAACACCACACAACAACTCACAGCCTGTCCTGAATGAAACAAAGACTTATATTATATTGTAAAGGAATACAATAGCAGCAGGAACAAATTATTTTTTAATCAGTGTATCTTAAAGTACAGATTTAGTTATCTCTGAGTTTTTGTTTTTAGGTCCACAGAGCTTGCAAAGAGAATATTACATAGAAACAGAGTGCCCCAGGAATGAGTCCTAAAACCCAGAAATTAGTTACTGTAGAATTTTAAAACTCTCGGTTCCCGAGTCTCAAAGTCAATGTGTTTTTTGAATGAGTTTTTGGTTCGATGCCTGATAAAAGGTCTGTGGTTAACACAAGCTTTAGAGACTTTCACTTGTTGTTCTACGGCATAGTAAATATGACACTTGTGAACTTTAAGGCCTCTATGTGTCATAAAAAAAGGCGGTTGCTAACAAGTGCTTAAAGGAGACTACAGAAAGTCATCACGCTGAACATGGCTTCACAGTGTTGTTAAGTTGGTGACGCTCAGTCATGTGACCGTGGTATAGTTCGTTTGTAGCCTAATGTTAACTTTTTCCTTCTGGCGATTGCATGTAGGCTTCAAAAATCCTAAAACTGGTGTTCATCAGAGGAACTGAAGAAAAAACAATAAATATCTGCTAAGAATATTATTGGTGGCATATAAGAAGTCCCTAGTATTGATGAATGGATTGACTTGGTATATAATATTTATGAAATGGGGGAAATTTCTATTGAGAACTGGACGAAATGGTGAGTATATGTCTCAAACATTCAACTGATTTTGTCTGAATAAGTACGAGAAACACATTGTGTGTTGTGGTTAGTCGCCCACACTGTCTCTACATGTAGGCCTATGTCTCGATTCAACATCCGTCAGCACAATCTATTTATTTGTTATCTATTCTCCATCCTTATTTTATGGTTTGATTTTTTTTTTTTTTAAATTACTAGTAAAACTTTTTATTATTTATTATTATTATTTTATTATTTTAATAAAATGAAAACTGTATACCCACAACAGAAGCTAAAATGAGACTAATCTTGCTACAAGAGGCAGGGATACTATATTTTTTCTACTAACTCAGATGAGAACAGCACAAAATAAATCAAGTTAGCAAAACTGTATTAATTATCTTGATTATTGATTAAACCAGTGTGCAGTGCTATGATCCTTATCCGTTTTTTTTGTTTTTTTTTTTAAAGATTATTTTTGTGGGCTTTTTGCCTTTAATGAACAGGACAGAGTGAAATGGGGCGAGAGAGAGAGTGGGGGTTGACATGCAGCAAAGGGTTGCAAGCCGGAGTCGAACCTGCGACCGCTGCAGCGAGGCATCGCTTCTATACATGGGGCGCCGGCACTATCCACCACGCTACCGACGTCCCGTCTTTTGCATTTTAACACTGTTGTAAACCTTCAGATAAAAAACAAATCTCCGCTTACCTTTTTACTGCACTTGGTGGTCATCTTGGAGCAGCACTTCCTGTGACAGGCGTAGCGACACACTGCAGACAACAGAACAACACAATCACACTGACGGCACTTCTACCACCTCCACAACAATTGCAACAACATCTGCAGTCAGTCACGACCTCAAAGACGCGAGGAGGTAACAGAGAGTTTGGACGTGAAGTCTGCAGCTCGCTGAAAGTGCAGATGGAGCTTATAACTGGATAGAAGATGGATTTATGAGGTTTAATCGAATTTTTCTGACACTCAGGGAGCCAGGGCATGTGTGTGTGTGTGTGTGTGTGTGTGTGTTTGTGTGTGTATGTGAGAGAGAGAGAAAGGAGTAGAAGGGGATGTAATGCATTGTGTGGGTGGAAAAAAAACCTACACACACGGGCATGAGTGCTTGTGGGTAAGTGAGTTAGGAGAGCATTAGGAGCTGCAGGTGGTGTGTGTATCTGTGTGTGTGACACTGGGCAGACTTGCAGCCTGTCTTTATGGTGAAAACAAAGATGCAAAAGAAAATGCAAATGAATCTGTTATTAAAAAAAGAAAACTTAGACACATACTTGCTGTCTACCAAGATAAAGGTCATTATTTACTATCAACTGAGTGTGTGAAACTTCACACCCATCCCAGTTCTTTCTAATTCACTTTCTACTTCACTGAAATGAAACTGATATTTCATGACTTCACCAGAAGTACTCTGCTTTTACTTTCATTGTCAGTGAAACCTCCTGGTGTGTTGTCACAACCAACCAGGAAGTGAAATTGTTTTAAAACAGACGCATGCTTGTCAACCCTCCAGATTTTCCCAGGACCCCTGTTTTTTTACTGCCCCCTCCTGGTTTCCTGCCGAGGTCACAGTTCTCCTGTATTCTGTATTCTTTCTTTTCTGGGAATTAAAAGTAAAATTCAAGGTATTTAACATTATTTTCATGCTTTAAAAGTGACCAAGACGCAGAAAAAGAAATCTCTGAAATTCAATTTTTCTGTGGGAGGACGTCCAGATCACTCACTTAGGTTTCCAAGTCCTCCCTATTTTGAGGTGGAGAGAGAAAACGGCGAATACTAGCAGAAAACGATCTATTCAAGTGTGTGTTTTTGTGTCTGATCCTCACGTTTGCAGACGCAGGCTCGATCCATCATCCAGATGAGCGAGGAGCAGTACTCGCAGTAGGTGGGGATACTGTACTGTGTCGACTTGAAGATGTGGCCGTTGTGTTCCTCCACCTGCATAGGGGGCAGCAGAGACATCAGTCAGCTTAGATGAATCTTTGTTTTATTCCAAACACTTTGTTTCAGTGAATCAAAGTGTATTAAATTCAATTTTCAACTCACAATGTCAGTTTCCTTCTTCCTGGACTTCTTGCGTTCACGTTTAGGAGCCTGGAAAGAGACAGATGTTGTTACCTGGTGCGTTCTGTGTGTTTCTTGTGAGTGCTGCAGATGCAATTAATTGGTATCTATGGATATAATTTGTGTTGCAAAGTGCAGTAAGTACGACAGTGACTGACGTTCCCGTGGCAAGCAGTGAGAATGCCAAAAGCTAACCATTGTTTTTAGAACAATTAAGGGTCAAGTTTAAACTTCAGATCCCCTTTAACTGCTTTCTCCTCCAACAAACCATCGCTGGTCTCTTACACTGAATGAGCTCCGCAGAGCAACAAAAAGCAAAGCACATTTCTTTTTTTCATCCATCCATCCATCCAGTTTTTAATTTTCTTACCCTGCCAATCGTTCCCTCCATAGGCTTATACTCGGTCATGAACTCATCCAGGAAGACCTTGAAGGTGTTGACCCACACCTTCACCGGCGATTCGCACCAGTCCCTCTGCTCCAGGCGCATGGTCTTTTCCAGGATGTGCTCAAACAGGGCGTACAGATCCTTGTAGCGGATACTCTTCCCATCATCCATCTGGTGGTAAGAGCAAAGGAAGGGAAATCAAATCATCAAATCATCAGAAACATTTACTCATTTGCTAAAACAGAATGAACAGTTTGACAATCACTGTATCTAAATAAGAGTAAATTCAGTATTCTTCAGTGTGACTGACAACATCCCTGTGTAAACCTTACTGATGCAGAGCTGCACAGATAAACAGTGACAATGGCAGACAAGGAGTGTTTGTCAAAGTCGAGGAAGGATCCTTAAATGGCTGAATTTCAAGGATTTTTAAGTATAATCTAGACATAAATTCTCACGGGACTGAAAATACTGTTTACATTTGTTCAAATTGTACAACAACATTAGAGAGTGTCAAAATTATCACAGTATCCTAAAACCTCCTCAGTCCACTGAGGGTTTACGGTGCACACCTGGAGACACTCGTTAGGTTGTTCCAATGTGTGTTCACCGAATTCTAAGAAGGACTCTTGCCTTGCCTCTGTAGGATCCTTCCTCGGAAGGACTCGTCCTAACAAGGAAGGATCCTTGACTTTGAGAAACACTATCAGAGATAAGAGCAGTGAGGACTTACAGCCAGAGCGGTGGAGTACGAGTTGAAGATGTTGATCCTGAACTCCCTCAGTGCTTTCTTGAAGACGACGTCCACCATGGTGTCTTTCTTACCATCTTCAGACTCCAACTCAGTAATCTGAAGGGACACATGATTCTAAATTTAACACCTAAGCTCATAAAACGTAAATAAAACAACTACAAAAGTTTTCTTTAAAAAGTGGATGCTGTGTCGTGATACTTATGATGATACGATGATTATTCCATATCAAAATAGAGTGTAAATTCATCTTCTCTGGCAGTTTTAGCACACAAACACACAAAATATGAAGGTAATATATTTAAATCTGATCACAGCATCATTATACCCATAAGTCCTTTGTGTGTGTGTGTGTGTGTGTGTGTGTGTGTGTGTGTGTGTGTGGGGTACAGGAACAAGTCCACTCACCTTTTTCATGAGGAAGTCGTTCATGCTTCGGTAGTCGTGGGCCGAGCTGAGGATGTGCAGCGCATCGTTTTGCCACTGGGCAGGTTCCAGAGCGATGCTGCTGATCTTCACGCTGCGACGTCTCCTCATCTTTGGAGACGGCTCCTTGTTCTCCTTACTGTCCCTGACCCCCCGAGAGGAAGCTGCCTCCAAATCTGGACTGTGAGGAGGAGAAGAGGGGCCTTCTGGAAGGATGGAGACAAAGATAGAGAAGATGTTAGAGAGAGAGGGTGTGTTCAAGACAGTGACCTCCAAAATCAGTCTGCAGATTGATTTTATTTTTTACCATGTGCCTCTCCAGCTTCGCTCCTGCTGGCCTGCTTCTCTCTCGACAGTTTCTTCTCGCCGTGCTTCGTCTTACTCCAGAATCGTATCTTTCCTTTCATCCTGCTAAATCACACAACACAACTGAAAATCAATTCATTAAAAAAAAAAAAACAAACATAAATGTCCACCAAATGAATTGTCACTGAAAAACTCTTAAGTCTTCCATTTTCAGAGAGGCTGTGACTTTATTTACATGAATTTGTAGATTAATAAGTGATGTTCTTATTTCTACTTGCAGACCTAAATAAATTCCCAAATCTAAAACATTCATAGCTCTTAAATTATACCATGTCCTTTCAGTTATTTAAGTGGCCAATGAAATACATATGCATGTCACTTTGCAGCTGTAAAATAAACCTATTAAACCACCACATGTACAGTACAAGGTCAGGCAGGTTTTTATAAATGAAGTCTTTTAGAATAAAGTAAACCAAAAACAACTGACTCAGGTGATCTCTTACCTTCCATCCTGGCTGGAGGTTTTCCTGAGGACCTCCACTTTGCCCAGGTCTCCTGATGACATGGTCTTATGGATCTTCTTCTGATCTTTGTGAGAAGGCTGGAGAGCAGAGAACAACCGGTGAGAAAAATAAATGTTTATTTTAATCGGCTTCACAGGTTCTGAAGCTTGCCCAGGATGCTGTGGTTTTTGGTGTCCTGTGTCAGTTTCCTTTTTATTGCAGGTTGGTTCCTCTACATTTGTGCCTTATAGAGAGAAATATTATGATATGGAGTAATATTTTTATAAGGTTTGTTCTACAACATAAAGTACAGCGTGAATAATTCCACATCAGTGCAATACATGTTTGTAAATCATGTAAAAGACATACTCAGATACATCACTTCCTCTGGTTCAAGTGATGCAAATGAATGTACTGACACAATAAATCTAGTGAATCTGAAGAGAGATGGCGTGAATCAGCAGCATCACAGAGAGTAACGCTGATGTTGAGAGAGAAACAGAAGTCATGCTCAGAAGATCCTGTTAGGAAACGACGGTGTTAGTGAGAAGTCACGCTGCTCGAGGTTTTAACGGTTCCAGCATGCAGGAGCAGCAGGTGGCGTGCAGAGCAACACGAGGCGTGATGTTGTGTGTCAGGACAGGTCGAGATATAAGTGGACAACATCTTCAGTCAATCCTTACTGTGAAAAGTATGCTGTCGTTAAAGAGGAAGTAGATCCAGGGATACCATCATACATTGTCACTTTGAGTTTTAACCTTTTATTTTTCCTTCAAAGCGGCTGCCACACTGTAAGACATTTTCTTCTTCTTCTATACACTCAAAGAACTTATTTGGTGTGTTGTCAGGTTTATGTATTTGATTACAAATAAAATTTCCATTTGATGCAGTCAAGTATTTCTAACACAGATCAGTAAATTCCACTTCAAATATGTTGATAAACTCAAACATATTTGCAATAAATAGAATATATTAATAGTAATTAGTAATTCTGACAGTCGATTGATCATTTCACTTAAATATCCACCAGATTTGTCAAATATTTGCAGCTTCTAAAAAGCAAAGATTTGCTGCCTTTTTAGTTTTATTTGGGGCAGAACAAGTAATTCCAAGACATTTTAATATCACTGTTGGTCGCAGTCCTACTTTAACACAGCATGTGTTTACAGAAGGAAAAATAAAAGATAAAACTTCAAAATATTGAGGTATCCCTCGATAAAGAGATCTAAGACAGTTTACAGCTTGGGCTGATGTACAGACCAATAGCCACCAGAGCGCCGTGCAAGGCCGTTCACTACAGACCGGCCACGGTGGCGGTCTGCTTGGTCAGACTGCAGCTCAGTAGTCGACAGTCCTTCAGTGAACAGTTCGACTAAAGTGGGTTAGCAGTGTTAACAGGCTCCTCCCCTGAAGCTCAGCCAGCTCCACCTGAGAGGAAGGTGGTGGAGGAGGAGGGAGGGGGGCCTGAGTGGACAGGAAATTGCTTGGAGGTAACGGAGCCTCCGGAGATCCGGTGTTTTACCATCTCGGAGTCGCTGTGACAGTCAGCCTCGGGGTGGGTGTTTGGGAGAGACAGGGAGGGGGGCAGCGTGTGGGAGTGGGCGGGGATGTAGTATTCATCGTCGTCATCCGACTGGGTCGCCCCCTCAGAGTTACAGCGGGTTAGGAAGTCGGAGCGCGTCCGGGACATTCGCGCTTTCTTTTTGGGGCCGGGGCGGCCCACCTGCTACCAGGCAACCACAGGAACATCAGGTCAGCCGCCAGTGTGTGTTTGTGCGTGTGTGTGTGTGTGTGTGTGTGTGTGCGTACGAGATCTTGGAATTGACTTAACCTTAGCTGAACTAAATACATTTAAATTATTTGCAAAAATAACAAAACGTAGCTTCAGATACTCAACCAAACAAATACTTCCTGACCACAAATATGCTACAAATAAAATGACAAATGACAGCTTTATTTTCATGTCTATCAGCTGTACATTATGACTGTATGTGCTTCTTCATTCTATAATAAACCAAAGGAGCAAAATTAAGTTTTCAGTTCTGTAATAAAAACTAAATGGTAGGCACAGGATGAGCTGCGTCTTAATAAACTGTACTGTTTGTCTTCTTTTCTGGTGCTTAAGTCAGAGAAATGTCCCAGTGTAGCAAAGCAGGACTCAGAACAAAAAAGGTTCAGACTGATGTCTGGATTTCACAAATCTCTATTTTACATGTTGCAGGTGACTCTATGCACATTTTCATGTCTGTACAGCCCTGCGAGTCTGTGTGCGAGTTGTCTTTTGCTACATAAAAAATAAACCCTTCACTTAAATTCACTCATGATTAATTGAGACAAGATTAGTCTGCACACATCAACAGACCACTGTATCAGAATCAAACAATGTTTTTACATGCGCGTGATGTGTGTGTGTGTGTGTGTGTGTCCTACCTCTCTGTTTCTGGATCCAGCAGATTTAGAGTCGTCTCTAAACATGGCCAAAGATCTTTCCTGGTTCACCAAATCCTTATCTGACCTGCAACACAAGACAAACGTTTTACAAGGGGACCAAATCTATTATTATTTTCTTACACTTAACTGTGACTTCTGCAGGAAGATCTTATTACTCCAATCATGGCAGATTGTGTCCTGTTTTTTACTTTAACTGACAGCTTACAGTCCATAGTACTATTGTAGGAGGGAAAATTTGTGCAAAAGAAACTATTGAAAACATCTTATAACATCAAACTTTGAAAATGTGTGGTCACCAGTCTCAAAGCAATACTCATTCATCATTAGGTTAAAGGATAACTTTTACATTTTTCAACCTGGAGCCTATTTCCCCGTGTAAACTGATCATAGAGACTGATGCGAACAACAGTTTTTAAAATTGTCCCAGTATTGAGGGAGGTGGCAGCAGCCGGTAGCTGCAGAACGAGCTGTAATGGAGGCACACGGGGCAACTGAACATCGTCACTGTATGTCCATTAAAAGTGGTTATTTTTGACACAGACAGGCTCAGATTGTTACTTTAAGTGTCTGAGGTGTCTCAAAGTGCTTCTAATGTTTAATCTTTCCAATATATCACAGTCACATAAGATTCTTTTCCTGGATTTCCTGAATAAATCTTCACTTACGAAAGTCCTAAACAAAGCTAACCACTGCAGCACCGTATTTAAATGATTATACTAATAAAAAAAAAATCACAGGGCTGTGGCTGACTTCACCTGCCGTCACATCCCTCAGTATCATGGCTCACTTACTTGGAGAAGGGCAGCTTGCGTCTGGGCGGAGAGAACACAGTGTTGGAGGGTTTCTCCACCATGTTCACAATCACAGTCTGGCCTGAGCTCTTCTTCTGAGCCTTTGGTGGTTTGGTGTCCAGGACCGGGCTGGGAGCCTGCTGCACCGGTCGGTTCGCCTTATTCTTCTCTTGCCGACTGGGGAGGGCAGTGGGAATGCTGGACTTTGGCTCCAGGACGATCTGGATGTCAACCTCCGAGGAGCAAATCCCTGATTCTGGACTTGATACATGGACAGTTGAAGATGGGACCCCAGGAGACTTGTCCACTTTACATACGTCACTCTCAGCCGGGGTAGCAATCGCATGAGGCTGTTCCATCTCTGATACTGCCTCAACAGGGGACATTTGGGAACCAGTTGATGCTGCTCCTGTTTCAGATGCTACTTGTAGGGTTTGGGCTGCCAGCAGCTCCCCCTCATCCACTGGACTCTCCTTCTGCATACTGATCAACACCACCACAGGCCTTCGTGACGTGGACTCCTTTCTCTCTCTGTAAGATTTGCTGGGGCTTTCGAATTTGGGTTCATGAGCTGGACTTTGGTCAGAAGCAATATAAAATGTTGCTCTCTGACCTTCTGCCTTGTTTAGTGGCTCGATCATAGGCTTCTCATTAAAGTTTGAATCCCTCAGCCCCTCATGTAGGTGGATGTCAAGTGCTTGGGGGTATTCTTGAGGTGCAGTCAACTGGGAACCAAATCCCCCAGAGCCTTCAGTCTCCATGTCTTCAACACTGAGCAGCTCAAAACTTCCGTGACTAGCTGGAGATCCCCGGGGTGAGAGTCTGTGATGGTCTTCCAGCTGACAGGTGCTGCTGTCTGGGTCTTCTTGCACACTGGTGGTTCGGACTTTAAGAAGCTCTAAGCTGAACTGAGCCTGCTCCAGCTCTCTCATCCGTCTGCTCTCTCGTTTCGAGCGGTTCCTGTGGCTCGTCTCGTCCGCGCTCCGACTTCGCTCTGAGTCCTCCTCTCTTTCTGTCTCTCCCACATCTATCAGAACAGGCTTAGAGTCTTCAGACAGGTCTACAGAGACGCCCTGGATGTAACCTTCCTGTCCTGATGAGGCGAGGTCCTCCATGGTTCCTGCCTCCATCTCTGGTGGTGGACTCTGCTGTCTTTCATGCTGCTCCTTCACTTCTCTGAACCTAAAGACATTATCAGTGCACATGCAAAAGTGTAATTAAGAAAGTTCTTCATACAAATCAGGCAGAAAACAGAATATACGCACCAGCATATCTGCACATCTGTAAACACAACACTGACATCACCTTTTAAGTTTATATGGTAAATATGTTGGCAAACAGTCGGCTATTTACACATCGAGATATCGGCTGACATGGCATTTATTTTGAGTCATGTTTCTGGCCACTGGATGAAATTTCAGTGTTCACTCTCTTTCAGATATTAAAGGAAATATCTATTTCTTTAGCTGCTAAATGTCCCACTATAGCTCTGTTTCCACTGAGCAGTCGGGTACAGTACAGTTCAGTTTGGTATGCTTTATTTCCATTTCCACTGTGAAAAGTTGTGGATGGTACCAATAGAACCGTTTCATACCGTCCCCATTTTTGGTCCCCCCTCTGTTGGGGTACCTAGCACACAGATCTAGTACTAAAAGGTGGAGCTGTGAACACTGCAGTCTGTTGATTGGTCAATAGAGGACGGTCACTCGGAGAAAAAAAAAGCGTCGCAGAGTGTAGTTCCCGTGGGATCTGGCTACCCTAACGCCGAGCTTGCCTGAGAAGGACTAAATGCACAAACCTGCTATTTTTAAATATCCCATAGAGAGAGACTCTCACTGCAGCCTCGTTCTGTGGACGATAACCGAGGTGCTGACTTCCAACTGTGTCACCAGTGATGAGGAAATTCAGTGAGTGCTGGACGGAGCAGTGAGTGACAACAGCCCCGCCCACATTTAAGAGTGCTGTTTGTGGTGGAAACTCTAGGGTCTAGGTACCATGTCTGAAGGGTTACTTTGGTTCCAAAGGTACCATACTGAAAGTGTTTGGTGGAAACGGAGCTTTTGTTCACCAGCTGATCATTAAAACTGTCTGCTGTTTGGTGCTGAGCAAGTGGTGTACAGTTACCTTTCAGAGCTTTAACACTGACAACAGCTGCCTGCTGCGGCAGAAAACAACACTATGAGAGCAGAGAGACTCAAAACTGTAAAACTGGTTTAAAAAATAAACAAGAAAACAAAACAGTGAGCTGAAAGATGGTAAAACACTCAATGCTATGGGGATTTTCAGTGATTTTTACAATGAGCAACTCCTTCCATGTACTAGTATTCATAAGATCTGTTGTTAATATAAAACTATGAACTACAGCTGCTTAAAAAAATCCCCTCTCTTAAAAGATAGAGAAGTTTCTCTGTTTCCTGCTGCAAGACACTGACCACAATATTTAACAGGAAAGTCCTCCTGCAACATGCGAAGCTCAGAAAATGATTCTGAAAATAATAAAGGGAAGAAAGTCCTGTCAGAGGGATAGTTTGGATATTTTTGGTGTGGGGTTTTATGAGGCACTTATCCACAGTCAGTGTATTACATACAGTAAATGTCAGTCAGCACACTCCCAGTTTGGAGAAGCAGGCAGGAGGACCGTCACAGAAGCTAAACAATGTGCTGCAGCAGTAAAATGTATTTTAGCCACTTAAAAAAAGATATCACTTTAAGTGTGCACTATGTTTAGAATATTTTCACTGCTTTTTCTTTCCTTTAGACAGCGACTTTTGACAGGGAACTGAAGCTGTTAGATGACTCTCTTCAAAGCCAGACTCCTTCAAGAAAGACAGTAATTCAACATCGCTGAACACAGGAGCTGCTGGTCTACTGCTGCCTCCATCAGTTAGTTTGTTAGTTACTTTGTGTTATTGTGTGACTTTGGTGACTCTGAACGAGTCCTTTTAAACACCAAAGTCACACAATAACACAAGGAAACAAACCATACAGTGAATGTCAGTCAGCATGCCCCTAAACTGGAGAAGCAGGCAGGAATACCACCACAGAAGCTAAGCAATGTACTGCTGTAAATGAGAGAGCAACAAAATGTATTTTAGCCACCTAAAAAAAGTTCAATATCAGTTTAAGTGTACACTACTTTAAAAAATAATTTCACTTCTTTGCCCTGCAGCAGACAGCCCTTTCCAACATGGACGCTTCAGTTGTCCATCAAAGCCACCAGACTCCTTTGACAAACACCGTCATTTTAGATCGCTGGACACAGGAGCCGCTGCCTTGACGGGAATTCTCTGACTATGAATAAATACCTCATTCTACCCCACTTCAAATGATCTGCTTTGCATGTTGCAGGAGGACTTTCCTATTAAATATTGTTATCAGCGTCTTGCAGCAGGAAACAGGAAAACAGTTCTATTTTTTAAGAGAGGGGATTTTTTAAGCTAATGGTGAACAAAAGCCCCGTTTCCACCAAACACTTTTGGTATGGTAAAAGTAACCCTTCAGACATAGCCTTTCCACTGCAAACAGCACTCTTAAATGTGGGCGGGGTTGTTGTGACTCACTGCTCCGTCCACCAGTGACGCAGATGGAAATCTGTGTAAGTGAAGTAAAATGGCTACAGTAAAAAGGAACCATTTTGCTTTTTAATCTTATTTTCAAAAATGTTAATGGTCTATGACTGAAATGTTACATCTCTGATAAACTCAGTGCTGACAGAATTCAACCTGTACTTTTACATGAATCCATCATATTACACACCTGTCTACCAGGTTCATTTGAATTTTCACCCATTATTAAGTCGTTTCAGATAACACTTTCATTCACCTGAGTCGAGCCAGGTGTCCCCTGCCCATCGCCTGCAGCTGCGTCACCGTCCTGTACGTCCGACAGTAGCGGCTCCTCACTGTGAACCCTCTCCAGGCTGTCTGAATGGTTAGAGCGGCCAAAGATCTGCGGTGACAGTAATGTCTCCAGCTCCTCTGTATGACGATTGCAGAATCTCGCCTCTGCAGGAACCTCCTGCGCTCCCTGTAGCTCCTCCAGGCCGCCTGCAGGCACACCGCCGCCTCCTCCTCATCACCAGAGTCCATGGTGGACTGCTTGAGGAGGCAGCCTCGCCACCATCGCTGCAGGAAACAGAAGAGGGAAAATATGTTGAAGGTTTTGGATTAAATGAATGTGGAAAAACAGGATGTAGTTTGTACATTTTCACCTTCCTTTCCTCATTGGAAGAGTTGACCAAAATGTGCCTGTTTACTGAATTCCATGTTTAGATTTGATGAACTTGAGGAAAGGTGCATGGTGCCACCTTCTGTACGAGAGTGTGTAGCATCATGACTTATAAATAAGATATATTCTGGGTACACTCATGTTGTGTTTTTTTTTTAGAGGAAAAGGTATGAATCCCACTTTTCTAACCGTCTAAAACAGCTCACTCTCTGCTGGGTTGCCCTGAAACCCACTTTATGTCAACCCAAATATGTAGCTGAAGTTTTTTTAGATCTGATATTTTTGTTATTCCTGGCAAGCTACTGTTTGTGAGGACAATGTGATTCAGCATGACAGACCAATCTAGCACCTGCATCTGGCAAACACCACTGAAGCTTCTGACAAATTTAAGCAGGCTAAAAACACCTTGAATTATTTTGATTATAGCCTGAAATATTTAATTTTCACCTCATTCATAAGCGTATTAAATGTCAGATTGTATTCTTGCATCATGCAAACAGAAACTTCCTCAGTAAGCTACTGAAAGAACGAACTGAACTCTCGATCTCTGACTAACTTTCCTAATTGAAAGCACAGTTATAGACAACTTCAGATATGAGTTTTCAGTCTTAAAATAACAAATATGAGATCTCAAACAGACTGAAGCTCAAACAGCAGCTTACACAGTATATGTTCTACTAAATGTTATCTGTGCTTCATCGGCTCCTGCTCAGTGTTTCAACTGGGTTTGTTTTCTCTCAGCCTGACAAAGATTTGGACAGCTCCCCTCTGAGGACTCTTCCAGAGAAAACATACCGCCAGCAGCCTGAATGCAGTGTTTTCTTCCTCCGTCAGTCCTTTCACTGTTTGCTTTCTTTCACTTTCTCTCTGTCTCTCTCTGAAGGGTTACTTCTGGTTCCAATGGTACTATACTGAAAGTGTTTGGTGGTAATGAGACGTACACGTCCAGAGAATGCTATTAAAACCTGAATAATACCAGCACATCCCAAATGTCTAAGTCGCAAAATGCTACATTCAGAATAAGGCCTAACTGAATATCTAAAGGGAATATTTCTAGGATTCTTTGTAGTCTCAATGCAGAAGGTGAGAGCCAGATGGGATCTAATTCCACTCAGCAGAGGCAAATCAAGTTTATACACAGGCTTTATATCTCTCCTGAAGCTAGACACAGAGTGAATCCAGCTTGGTCAGATCTTTGCGCTAAATTTCAATCTGCTGTTGGATCATTTTTTCATTGTTTGTGGAGCTGTCCTCGTGATCAGCAGTTTTGGATTACAATCTGTCAACAGTTTGATGTTATATTTAAGCGCCAACTACATCCAGGTGCAAGGACTTGCCTGTTGGGACTAAATGAGGAGTTACCCGCTGGTTTTCTCAACAGAAACCTTCTACACATGCTGCTGCACTGTGCTCAGGGATGTATTATGGTCACGTGGATCACTGATAAAGCTCCCACTCTTACTCAGTGGCTTCAAGCTGTGACAAGTATCATTGCATTAGAAGCTTTCTCTGCGGCCGTAGTGGATAAACTCTTTTTGTCCTACTGGACCTGGGACCCATTTCTTAATTACCTTGGTGCATCTGCATCTCGTAGGATGAGATCAGGGCTGATAGATTTGGCCTGGAAAAAGGATGCAATGTGTGATAGGCTGTCTTCCATGGATTTTATTTAATTTATTAGTCTTTTTTTTTGGGTTGTTTTTTGTGTTTGTTTCATTGACTGTGCTCAGAAGTGCGCACCTGTAACCACACCCAAAACTGATGTCACAGAGTCTTGGAGTACAGCAGCATGTTAAACCACTGCAGGTCAGCAAAAACATGACATTAAGGGGGTGTTCAGCTAGTTATCATGTTGTTCTGACGTGTTACAAACAGTAGAAATAAAAATAATAAAGAAAAATAAATGCTTAATATGACACAGTGAGAGCAGTAACAGCCGGAGTAATAAGAGGAGGCTATAGGAAGAGCATGACTGCCGATCATCTCTGATCGAGAGGCTGTATTTGTATCTGGAGTAAATGCACAACTATTAATCACCTAATGCCTAAATAGTCTCAGAGTTAGTAGCCTTAATGGACTACAGAAACTTTGCTGTGTAGGATTGTTAAATTGATTCAAGCACTTACAGCAGATGTTTTATGGCTGATCAGAATTTCAAATATTGTTTTGACTGCATGGAAAGTCATGTAGAAGATGAAGCTTCTTAGGCTCAAACCCTCTCACATCTTACCTGGATGACAGCGGCGGCTCTCCTCATATCGACAAAGTGCTTCCTCTCCAGGACGGCCCTGAAGCGGCGCTGCAGCATGACAATTCGCCGCAGCACTTCCTGGTGGAGGAGGGTCTGAAGACGCTGACGCTCCGCCTCCCGCAGGAACACCTGCATCACACAGGAACATGTAAATAAGCACAGAACTGCCACAGATAAGATGGCACACCAAATGTGAGCTGGTCTCAAGAATCCGTACCATCGTGTTGCCAACTTGATACCCAGCAGGCGGCAGGTGGATCCGTCTGAAAAACTCCCTGATGCCTGACTTGGTCGCACTCGTGCCTCGAGGCAGCAGCACATGAAAGTGACGCACAAAGTCCTGCAACATGGTGAATGTGTCGTCAGTCAAGCAGTTTCAGATACAACGGTTCATGGTTGTTGGCAGTTACTGTTAAACCTAAGTTTCCCTCCAAAACATTAAAAACATTGCTAAACATCTAATTTTATTAAGACTGTATTCCTGGTGGATTTATAATTGTAAATCTCAACATCTAGACATATTTGTGCAGCAATAAAAAGTAAGATTAGAATCAGCTTTGGTGGCCAAGTATGTATTCATGGCTCGCAGTCACTTTCACACACAGTGCCCAGAACGAATGTATGGAAGGATACACTCAAAGAGTAACGTCTGTATTTTTCAACCTGGACCCTTTCTCCTGTGTGTCTGTGTCTAAATTAACAATGGGGACAACAGTTTTTGAAATTGATCCAGCATTGGGTGAGAGGGCTGCAGCCGGCAGCCACAAAACAGGTTTACTCTCATTTTGTTCTTGTTTTATTCTACTGAGGTATATTCATTCATTTTCATTTTTTAAAATCGCTTATTGTGTGAGGGGTCACGGGGGGGCTGGAGCCTATCTCAGCTGACATTAGGCAAGACGCAGGATACACCCTGTACGGGTCACAACACTATTGCAGGGCTATTATTAGACTGCAAATCAATGGCGTGTTATGAATAATGACTAACACAGAGACAGGATGAAAAGAAGGCGTCTCGTACATTAATGACTCAGGGCTTAACACTGTGGGATCACTGTCACACACTCTTTAATGGACTTAATGAACTTAAGAACACAGAGTCGGATAAAATGATGACGGCCTTAACAGCTTTTTAATCAGGGAAAATACCCTGATGTTACCATGGTTACATGAATGCATTAGCATGAATAGGTCATGGGATATATGTGGTCTTTATCAGGATCAGTTATGAGATCACGGACAGATTTCACTATCAGCAGATGGATTCAGCCATTTAGGTTTAGCTGTTGAAATCCTGCTAAAATCACATATCTGCTATCATAAAAGCCCGTGGTTGGTTTGTTTTCTTTCACACCACAAACGAACCGCACCACTTGATAGCGGACCGAGACCCACCTTTTCAAGCAGTCTCAGTACGGTTGGTTAGTCCGCACTAGGGTTCAATTGACAGCTTTCGCACCAGCCCCAACGAACCGTACCAACTGTGCAAACGGACCTGAGTTTGTTTCAACCTGGACTTTATTCTTTACGTCTAAGAGTGCTTTCACACCAGACCTGTTTGAGCTACAAATAAACAGAACTGTAACACAGACCCATAGATCAGCTGTTAGACGTTCGTAGGAGAGGATTACCTGGAAGGTGTACTTGATGCTGTATCCTGATTGTCGGATCCGGACGGTTTCCAGCATACCTGTGTATCTGAGCTGTCTGAGCACCAGGCTGTCATTGAAACGCAACGGCAGCTGACGGAAAGAGACAGAAAGAGAAGAAAGAAAGGGTTAATTTAATGAAACAGAAGTCAGCAGTCAGTCAGAGAAGCTGTATTTAATCGATGACTCTTCTACAGCAGAATTTACCTTCTCAGCGTTGGAGCGAATACACTTCACAAAGTACGGCTCTGATTGGTCAAGAGTCTCCATCAGCTTATTGAGGGACGCCTGCACAAACATAAACAGATGACATCACATTGTGTTATACATAGAGAATTGCAGTGGTTGAATGTACGAGAACATTAACTCGAGTACTGTACCTGGATACAGTTATGAGATATTTGAGTATTTCCATTTTCTGGTACCTTACACTTCTACTCCACTACATTTATGTGATACATCTAATTACTTACTACTACATTAATGTGTTAACAGCTCATATCCTGATTCCTGTTTTTATTTAAAATATGTATTATATTCAGTGCAGTAGTGCAGTGATGTAAAAATGTTTAACTTTTAATATTTATCTTCATGATATTCTTGTACACATTTAAGCATTATAGGCCATTGCTGCTACTGAGTCACTAATGGTGTAATCTACTGATCGTCCAGCAGGGGGCAACGGCAGCACTGACCTGGAACTGTGCGCTGATGCTGGGCGGCTTCTTCTTCTTGTGCAGGTGAAGCAGAGACTTGGTGATGCGGTCGTGGAGCGTCACGCTGCTCAGGTAACGCAGAGACTTCACGTCCAACAAGTGCTGCATTCACAAAAGCAGATTACACATGAAACAGTGTCTGGGAGCTGATGAGGACCACTGACTCTGAAGATGTTGTCACGTGTTTGTGTCTTACCTTGGGAAGGGTTGGCTTGCTTTTGATGTTTTTGTTTCTCCTGCAGGTGGGAAACATTGTTTTTTTATTATCAGATATAATGACAATTCACCAAGTTGGGTTTAAAAAAGGATGCACTGGAACCAGGTATACCCTCCCTTTTAGTCCATATATGTGTCTTCCTCTGAATACCTTTGCTACTACACTAATGCAAATGGATAGCTGGAATCCTGGATATAAACAGTTGCTCATGCTCATTTCCATTTCTACCAGCTAACAGAGGTACCTTAAAGTTGCTGAACGAGCTGAGACAACAACATGGAAAGAAATCCTCTGCACACAGTGAATACATCAGTTTGTGAGTGAGTGATGTCCACATTTTCAATCTATGATTTTAAATTTATCAGATTAGACCAACAGGTTTCTGGACATGTGGGTAGCAGAAAGGTAAAAAACAAATCAACAGCAGCAAAAGACTGGTTAGAGTTTCTGCGTGTCACTCACAGCAGGATGCCCTGAGCTCTCTCCAGGAGCTTGCTGCTGGTCGAGTTGATGAAAATCCCGTCTTCTTCCAGGGCGGGACTTCCTGTCGAGGACATACGACCGGTCCTGGAGCTGCGACCGTTGCAGCCGACACCGTAGCCATCCCTACAGGAGGTAGGGGGTGGAGTGAGAGAGAGACAGAGGGAGAGAAGAAAAAGAGAAGGGAGTGGTGTTCAGTTTGGTTCGGCAGCACTGCTTGTAGCAAAAGAGTCATTTGATGATGCAGTTCTTCATTTCGATTTTTCACTTCTTTGAATGAAGATGTTCCGAGATGAAATCACACACTGAAGACACTGTTTTTTGGCCGGAGATTTTTCATTGTATTTTATGTCTGTCTTGTTTTAACCTTTCATTTTCTTTTCTTTAGCTCCTTAATGAATTGTTTTTAAATGTATTTGGCAATGTGCATCTTTTGTATCTTGTCTTGAAGCTTGTGGTCTTTTATGTAGAGCACTTTGAAATGTGCTATTTAAATAAACTTGCCTTGCTTTCCCTGAGTGTTTAAAGACTGAGGATGTTGTACGCTGAGCAGATTGTAAAGCCCTTGAGGCTGATTTGTTATATTAGGCTTTATTAGGGATGCACAATAAATATCCGGCTGATAACGGGACATTTTAATTATTACGCACTATTCCGATAATTGAAATTACTGCCAGTGGACTTGACTCAAGACACTGGTATTGTGTTGAACTCACCAGCTGGCCTTCTCATTCAGGGCATTGGTGCCTTGAAGATCTGACAGAGGTGTCCGGGGATTCTTCCTGGTGATACCTGGATGGCAGAAGAGGAGAGGAGACACTTTAAAGCTCACTGGATATATCTACATCTGCATCTCTGACCACAGCATGAATATCTTCTATTACTTCCCCTTTACCGGCAACCACCATGTTGCTTTTACCATGGACATATTGTATTTTGTACAGAGCTTTCACACATATCTCTCCAGCTACCCTCCCTTTATCCCTCTCTTATCTAGCTACCTGCTTTCATCCACTCCCAAAGCCTTATCCTGCTCTTGTCTTAGACTGGCTTTACTTTCCCCCCAGTCAGCCCCAAAGGTGTGTGTGTGTGTGAGAGAGTGTTTCAGTGGTTTTGGCAGTGGGACATTAATGCCGATTGAGAAATTATATATAAAAACAAGCAGCTAATGAGCTGTGTGTTTCCACTTTACATTTGTAATTCCCTCTTGTAAAAGTTTAAACTCACTGCTTTTACTATGCAATGACATATTTCGCAGAACTGGGGTTCACTCTGTGTTCTGTTCTCTTCAAAAACACAGTGTGTAAAGGTGATCCCTGAAGCTGTTACGATACCAGATGGAATTAAAGGAATAGTTCGGCTTGGATTACGCTTATTCATGCCAAGAGTTAGATGAGAAGACTGACACCACTCTCATGTTTGTGCGATAACTATGAAGCAACAGCCAGCAGCTAAATAGCTTAGCTTAGCATATAGACTGGACAAAGACTGCTCCAAAAAAGAGGAAATATCCAGTGAGCAGCAGTTCTCTGGGTGAAAATGCCTTGTTGATGCCAGAGGTCAGAGGAGAATGGCCAGACTGGTTCAAGATGATAGAAAGGCAACAGTAACTCAAATAACCACTGGTTACAACCAAGGTATGCAGAAGACCATCTCTGAACCAACAACACGTCCAACCTTGAAGCAGATGGGCTACAGCAGCAGAAGACCACACCAGGTGCCACTCCTGTCAGCTAACAACAGGAAACTGAGGCTACAGTTCACACAGGCTCACCAAAACTGGACAATAGAAGATTGGGAAAACGTTGCCTGGTCTGATGAGTCTGGATTTCTGCTGCCATATTCAGATGGTAGGGTCAGAATTTGGTGTAAACAACATGAAAGCATGGATCCATCCTGCCTTGTATCAATGGTTCAGGCTGGTGCTGGTGGTGTAATGGTGTGGGGGAGATTTTCTTGGCACACTTTGGGCCCCTTAGTTGGTTTAAACACCACAGCCTACCTGAGTATTGTTGCTGACCGTGTCCATCCCTTTATGACCACAGTGTACCCATCTTCTGATGGCTACTTCCAGCACAACATGTGATGTCACAAAGCTCAAATCATCTCAAACTGGTTTCTTAAACATGACAGCGAGTTCACTGTACTCCAATGGCCTCCACAGTCACCAGATCTCAATCCAATAGAGCACCTTTGAGATGTGGTGAAACAGAAAATTCACATCATGGATGTGCAGAAGACAAATCTGAAGCAACTGTGTGATGCTATCATGTCAATATGGACCAACGTCTCTGAGGAATGTTTCCAGCACCTTGTTGAATCTATGCCACACATCACCAGTTTGTAGCACAGGATTTCCGTGTATAACCTCCAAATCCCAGGCAGGTAACCCCCGGTGTTATCAACAGGGTTATTTTTTCAGACTTGACATCATAAAACTGTTTCCACCATGACTGGTGTTTCCCTTAAACAGTGGAAAATCTTTGGGGAATTTTCTTGGAAATTTCCTTGGACATCTCTTTCAGTTGCTGCTGCAGCTGTTAAATCCCACTGGACTTGAGTGTGTATGAAAGCAAAGTACTACAACATGAGGACACTTTGGAGGTTTAGGCACACAATGACACACTTAGCCGTACACGTATGAACAAGTACGCACACAGCTGAAGCCAAATGTGTGACAAAGGACGACCGGAAAATCCGAGGGCGTCATTAAATCCTGCCAGCTCACATGAGACCGACTCATTTGTGTGATCACTCATGTGTGGGAATAAGTCTCCACAGTGAGGTGAGTCAACCGGACTAGAGCTCCAAACGACCCAGATGTCTGATTTCCAATATCTTATTAAAAGTTGTAATAAAACCGGCTTACTGAGGCTGAAAGTCATCAGCGATCCATTATTCTCTACATGACCACCAACGACTTTCTCAATACAGCCTAGAATTAATTCCTTTGACTGGGTCGAGCTTAGTGAATGGCTTCTGATTGGCCTTTAAAAATAGAAGCACTCACTTCAGCTCACCTCAACTCAACAGACCTTTATCGACAAAATCCATCACCATTACAAACCCCATTAACAGAGAGCACCTCTCTAATACTGCTGAGGTGAGTTGAGGCTTGGTCTTCACTCCAAAATATCAATAATGTACCTGAAGAAATTAAATCCATAAGTCCTGTTTAAAGCATAGATAAGTTGATCCTGAAGAAGAGGAACCACTTTCAAAGAAGAGCTCTTAAGCTGTCTCATGAAGCTCTTCCAGCCAGTGTTACTTCCTGTTTAATGGTTAACGTTCTCTAAACCAGTGGTTCACAACTGGTCCAGCTCTGTGGTCCAGATTTCTCCTTAGGGTGCTTTCAGACCTAGAGTTGTCTTGCTTTGGTCCAAATCTGGGACTCATTTTGTTACAAAGTTGCCTAGAGTTGGTTCATGTTCTCACGGCAGCATTTACAAGCGGACCAGATCAAATGCCTTGTGTGAGAAAGCTGCTCTTGATTGGTCAGAATTTCCATGTGGGAAAAATCCAGGAAGTAAAGCAAACGTTGAAGAAGAGTACACTTGCAAGATAAGTGTGACACTTTCTAATGTCACAATGGAGGGACAACTACGCAGAATGATTTTAGCGCTGCTCATCGTGGACTACATTGCTGTCATTGTTCATTTTAGTCAAACCATACAGTTTGAAAACGAGGCGCAGCTCCAACTAGAAAACAATGTTTTGATGCATTGGATGTGCTGAATGTGCATATTAAGGCAGTACAGGAGGAGGTGCACATTAATAATCCTCCAGGACTGTAACATGCTCATGTTTAACCCAAACAATGTGTCATGTGACTGCAGTTGGTTCAGATCCAGGTCGGAACACATTCTCACCACAAACGAACCGCACCAGAGTTTGTTTGTAACCGGACTGAGACCACCTCTTCAAGAAGGTCTCCGCAGTCCGCAGTTTTGGTGCACACCTGAGTGCAGTTGCTGTGTTCACACCCGCCCAAACGAACCACACTTAGAGGGCAGACTAACTTGAGTTCAATTGAACCGAACTAAACAGGGCAGGTGTGAAAACACCGTTAGTCATTAGTTCAAGGTCCAAACAGTTTAATACATTTAGCAGCATGCTTGCATTTGGCCATGTCACCAAGCTAGTTTGCTGTCTTTGCTGTTTCCAGCACAGAGCTTTTATTTTGCAGTGCCGTTTACTGCTGTAGAGTAAGTAACTAACCTATAGTTACTTGATAGAGACAGCAAACTAGCTCAACAACATGGTCAAACGCAAGTATGATGCTGAATGTATTAAAGTGTGGGACCCCGAACTAATGACTGATGAGAAATCTCAAAGCCGTGGCTGGACCAGTTGGGAACCACTGATCTATATAGCTCAGTATAACCGATCCCAATCAGTTAAAAAAGCCTTGATTGGCCCCAATCCTGAATTTTCAGATTGGATCGGAACATCCACAATTTCAAGTGTCTATCAGTAACATTTTCTTCTACCTTTTAAAAACAACTGCACCGAGTCATTTGAGTGTTTGAATTCACTATTCACTTTGAGGACATTTTTAAATTTTATACTAAAAAAATGTGAAATTGGATGAAAACGCTGCAAAAATGTATAAAAATCAGCTTAGTGCAAACAACAATTAGCAGCTGTGACTGAACTGTGACTGCGCAGACACACTTTTGTCCTCCTGCAGCAGCAAAATCACAGACGCCTCATGATACAATATGGCGGAGATTCTGGAGTTTTTTTTGGAGTAACTTACTGTATTTCTCATCTTTGCATCTTTGAAGGATCTCAAGGCTCCTTTGGTGAACCGGATGATGGAGGAAACTAAAGCTGTCGACAGTTTTGACAACACTACAGGGAACTGCTGCATCATTACCTAAAACGGAGAGACAGAGAGAGGAAGAGACTTAATGTTTTGCAGTGAAGCGTCTCCGTTTGTGAATAATTCAATACATAAAAAATAAGAGCCAAAAACAAGAAGCATTATGAGCAAAAAGAGGAGATGAAAAGGAAAGCAGGCAGAGAAGGTGAACTAACAAACAGGAGAAGAGAGGCAGCAGAAGCAAAAGAAAAGGAAGATGAGATTTAGAGAGAGAACAAAGTCACAAACCCCTCTGAGATAAGTCAGTGGTAACATTTTCAAACAGTCTGCTCTGTACCACTCCTCCCAGTTTGTGAAAATAAACGCTGCAGAAGCAGATCAAAACCTCTCTTCTTCTCCCCTCTTCCTCCTCCTCATCATCATCATCATCAGCAGCAGAAGCACAACTCCAGGTTTAAACTCCTCAACTCCTTAAACACACCCTGTTGTTCTTGGCCCGGGTGAAACGAGAGTTTGGACAAAACAGTGTGAGCACAGCTTTCTGAACAGTGATGAATCACAGCTCAGTGTGTAACTGTGAGAGATTAACTTAAGATCATTAAGTAGCATATAAATTATTGTTGCATGCTGCAAACTTGGGAAATAAGAAAAATAACTTCTGAGTAATAACTTTGAGTTTCTGACAAAAAGCAGGAGAGAAAATAAAGTACATGCATTTTGAGTTTTGCCTTTAGAAGATAATGTAATCTGGGCTGCAGCTCATGCATACTGCATTATGGATTCATTATAAGGATTATTTCTTTGATTAATCAACAATGTAGTCTATAAAATGTCAAAGAATAATGAAAAATGCCAGTTGAAAGTCCCCCAAATTTCTTGTTTTGTTTGACTAACAGTCCAAAACCCCAAAATATTACACTGACAATAATATAAAACAAAGAAAATAATCAAATCCTCACATCTGAGAGAGTGCAGAGAACAGATGTTTGGCTGTATTGCTTTGTTAATTACATTAATAAGTAATTAATGATAAAAATTGTTGTTATTGATCCACTTATCAATAAAAGTACTATTTTTTAAGCACAAAATGTAATAAAATAAATAAAATATGGCCTCATATTGGACTACAGAAAGTTAGCTTGGTGTTTAGAGACAGGGAAAACTGTATTTTTTGACTGCATAAAATTTTTCTTGTGTAGCTTTTAAGTGCTTGGCAACAAATGTTAAGTATTTTTTGTATTGATGTTTTTTTTGTATTTATTATTTTTGTATTTGTATTTATTTTTGTATTATTTTGTATTAATATCAATGAAATAGGCTACAATACGTGTGTATTATTTATGACTGTTAATTTCATTGACAACCTTTTTTCCATGACCAAAATGAGTGATGACGAGCTAAAAATAGTTCTTCATTATAAAAACAATCTATGTTTCATTTTTGCTGGCGAGACAAGATGTGATGAAAATGTTAGTGGTGGATTATCAGACACTGAAAGCCGAGAGCAGCTGTGCTTGTCATTATCTTCAAATGCTGCATGAGCGACAGACTCGTGAACTCCAGTAAATAGTCTGCGCCAGGATGTTTAGCTAGCCAGCAAAAACACTCACACCGGCGCAGCGTCAGCAGTTGGTGCCAGTTGTGAGCTGTAATTCATCAGTAAATAATCAGCTGTGTGTGTCTGACTGTGGATGGTGGAGCTGCTGAATGGATTTGTGGAGTTTATTAGTTGCAGCAGTGGCTGTTAGCAGCTAGCTCCACCTGTTAGCCACTGAATGGCAGCAGAGCAAGCAGCCACCAGTCCGGACTGTCTCGGGAAGGTTTATGATTTGATGGTGTTTGACAGGCAGGTGGGAGGCTTGGTTATCTGTCAGTCTAGCTATGCTGTAAGTAAACAGTTTGAACTCAGATCAGTTTTCTCTGACAGAGATGAAAGTTTAGTTTTGATCACCGACTCTGTGAGAGGACACGAGTTTAAACCTCCAGACTAAGACTAACATGTCAACACAGTGAGATCGATAAGTCAGAGTTTACAATGAACCTGGGGACAAATCCTAATTGTCTCAGATTAGTTATTTGTGGTGTCAAAGTTTTTGAGAGCATAAATAGAGATGTTGAACTTTTAAAATGATGATCAGTAAGTGTGTGCTCGTAAATCAGCTCTTAAACCTGTCAAACTCTGCTGAAGAAATGACAGTTTATACGTAAGTGTGCAGGGGTGACATTTTTTTACAACCTGTCACCTTAAGTCTAATTTCTGATACATGAATTAGTCTGACTGGATTAGTTTAAAGATTATAAAAACATATAGAAAAATACTGACTAAAAGATTATGACTAAAATGCCATGGGTTTTTGTCGACTAAAACTAGACCAAAACTATGAAGGATAAAAATGACTAAAATGTGACTAAAACTAATAAATATTTTCCTCTCAAGACTAAGACTAAATATAAAATAGCTGTAAAAATTTACACTGATTTATTAGGAGTTAAACAGTCAAAGCAAACCTGCTTCATTAGGTCTGTGTGATTCAAGCGGATCTGACTGGCGGTCACTAAGCAACCCGCCGACTGTCATCACATTCTGATTTTAATGTGCTCTTCCCTGATTGGTGCACAGAGATACATGATATCATCTATGTCTAACTGAGACCACAGAGAAAAAGGAAACACATGTGAAGTAACCAAAACTATTCTAACCGAGTCAGATAATAGTGCGTTCCTGTAGGATCTTATTACTCATCGTAAGAAGCTGATTGAGAATAAATGTTTTCAGGGCTTTTAACCTTTAAACTGCAGCCGTTTATTATTTTATTAGACTTGAAGACGTTTCCTCACCAGTTTTTTTGTGGGTGTGTCTGCGGCCGGCCTCCCTGAAAGCCACCAGGGCTCTGAAGTAGGCTCGCAGCACGGCCCAGCGGAAGGTCGCCACAGGGTCGATTCCCATCAGGCCACAGATGAAGGCGTTCTTGCTGCTCTTGAGCAAAGCCACAATGTCGGGACGCATGTGGTCAGTGTTTTTCTCCCTGAAGTCCTGAATGAAGGAAAGACACATGTGCGTCCAGCAAAGCGTTAGTTACTCCTCTGAGGACTGAGGTTGTATCATAATTATACACAGACAATCAGGAACAGTCTGTCTATGTGTCCTCTTTCAAAGAGCTAATGTGGAAGTTTTTGGATGTATCACAACATCCACATAGAAAAATCATAAATCATAAACACAAGCAGATAATGTTTCTTCGTGTTGTGTTTATTAAAAAGTGCAAAGCCAGTTTACTACTGATGTTTTTATGTGCAATGTTTCACTGCTGTTACTCCAAAAGTAAGGAAATAGAGTTATATGACATCTCTCATATCTGTAATATATGAAGCTTAGCAGTTAGCTTAGCTTAGCATAAAACTGGAAACAGGAGCAAACAGCTAGCCTGGCTCTGTCCACAGGTAACAACAGCACCTTCCAGCACCTCCAGAGCTTAATAATTAACATGTCATATCTTGTTTGTTTAATATGTACAAAAACCCAAATGTATATACTTTTTTTTTTGAAAGGGTGCGATAACTTCCTGAAGTCGCTGCTCTCACGACAAGAGAAGTAGAGTAAGCTAGTAAGTGCGCAACTTGACGTCTTGCCACTTTGGTTTTTGTCCATATTAAAGGGATAGTCCGCATCTGTTGAAGTGGTGTTCTGTGAGGTACTTATCCATAGTCAGTGCATTACATACAGTGGATGTCAGTCGGCACGCCCCCAGTATGGAGAAGCAGACAGGAGTACTGATACAGAAGCTAAGCAATGTACTGCTGTAGAGGGGGGCAGCAACAAAACCTAATTTAGCCACCTAAAAAAAATTAATATCAGTTTAAGTGTATGCTATATTTAGAATATTTTCAGCACTTTACCTTGATGTCAGACAGGGATTTCCAACAGGCGACTGAAGCTGTTACATAGCGCTCTTCAAAGCCAGACTCCACTGACAAAAACAGCAATTTAACATCGCTGAACACAGGAGCTGCTGGTCTACCACTGCCTCAATCAGCCAATGGTGGATCAAGCCAGTGGTGGACCAGCAGCTCCTGTGTTTAGCGATGTTAAATTGCTGTTTTTGTCAATGGAGTCTGGCTTTGAAGAGAGCACAGATGGGGAACTTAAGCTGTTAACAGCTTCCCCATCTGACAGGGCCGTCTGTGACAAAGTACAGCGCAGAAAATATTATCAATATGGCATGTGCTTAAACTGATTTTGATATTTTTAGTTGGTTAGAATAGGTTTTGTTGCTGCCCTCATCCACAGCTCTACATTTTCTAGCTTCTGTGGCAGTACTCCTGCCTGTTTATCCAAACTGGCGTTGTACTCTATGTTATAAATTGACTATGTTGCCTCTGGTATTGACCATTTACTTGCAGTTACTGAACTGTCAAGAGGCCACATTTCGTTCATATACAATTTTCTACCAACAGTGACTCCCCCTGCTCTGCAAACAATCATGTCAGACTGGGAAGCAGATTTAGGTATCACGTTGTCAGATGAATGGTGGGATGATGCATGAAAGCAGTAAATTTATCCTCCTCTTGTGCAAGGCTCAGCCTCATTCTGTTCAAAGTTCTTCACAGGATCCATTTTAGCAAAGCTAGATTATTGAAGATCTATCCAAACCTCTCTGACTCATATGTTCTGGTCATGCCCAAGCCTAGCGGAATACTGGAGATCTTTTCTTGATGTTTTATCGAAGATATTGGAACTGACTATAGACCCATCACCTCAGAAAAACATGACACTGTCCTGAATGAAATTTGGTTACAAATAAAAACCTGACTATGGATAAGAATCTCATACAACCCCACTTCCAAAGATCTGTACTACCCCTTTAAACCACATATCGTGTTGATTAGTGAACTTTAAAGGTACTGGTAGCCAGATTTTGGACAGAGCCAGGCTACTGGTTTCCCCGTGTTTCCAGGCTTTAAGCTAAGCTAAGCTAAATGGTTGTATTCTTCAACAAAATACTCAACAGACAGACATGAGAGTGGTATTGATCCACATGTAACTCTCAGCAAAAAAGCAAATGAGCGAACATCCCAGTGTCAAACAATTTCTTTGATCTCATGCTGGAGTTGGGAAAAAGACAAATATCTTAATCATCAGCTTCTGAAGTAAATGATCATGAAGCAAAAACAAAGTGGAAATAAATAATTCACGTTTGTTTTCACATCCTTTTCCGTGCACCGTTCACGTCTTCACATTAAGCGAGGTGCAGGAACACTTAGTTAAGCACACAGAGCTAACTGCCATCTCTTCTCCTGCTTCACGTGACTGTAAGCAATTAAACACTTCGACTGAAGCCGTGCTTTGATAACAGAGCTCTGAACTATAAACCCTTCAACATATTCTCCCTCCATATGATTCGAGTCAGCTGTGTGTTCACCACCGAGCCGGCGTCGGGCACATTTCACGACTGTGGCTCTCACTGCACAATTCACACCAAACAACTCCTTGGCTCTCAGTGGATATGGGATACCTCTCCACATCCACGATAACCAACTGTTATGGATTTATATTATACAGTCAAACAACAATACGCTCGCCTCGTTCCAGCACATGTGCTTCTTATCAAACGCAGCTGGGAAGCGAGAGAGAATTTAATTTAGCTGAAAAAAAAAAAAAAAAAATAGGTCGACAGAACAACAAGTAGGTCTGCTGCAGAGTTTCAGAAAGTGAAGCTTCCTTCATCTGTTCACAGCTTTGATTTTTGACATTTACCACACAGACAGGAGACCTCTGCTTAATTTACATTTTAGGAATAAGTCCAATGCACTAGAAGTGTGTGGCGGAGTATTTATCTGCAGTGACTCTGCCCTCTACCTGCATTTTCTCCGTGACCTTCCAGTGGAGAAAGCCTAATGAAGTGCACTCAAGGATGGCTTTACAACCGAGAACACGCAGTTCTGTAAAGGCTGCTACATGCCCCACTGCATGCAGCCAGTTTTTGCCCCTGCACCCCGTCATCCTGAGTCCGCCACTGTGAATGAGCACTAATCCAGACTGTGGTTTGTCTCTGCTTCATTTTGTTTACCTATGCTCCTAAGCATGAGCAACTGCAGGCAAACAGATGTCAACATTTATCTCCTCCTACCCACAGATCCACCATAGATGCCTGTTTTAATCTTTAGTCATAACAAAAAGTGTCTTATGTTCTTGAAAGGACAAAGACTCACAATGTTGGGTGCCTTGTTTTGGTTATTTGAATGTGTTAGCATTTCTCGTGTCAAAAAACCTGAATTGAAAAAGTAGATGCTCCACAAAACCTGCTCGGTGTAAACAGACCAGTTAATTGCGAAACTCTGCAGCAGCTCAAAACTTAAAGAGTCAAAGTTCATTTTTCATCCAGGATAATTACTAACAAACACATATACAAATAAACATCAATATAAAAGCTACATAGTGACCCAGCAGCATCTCACCTTGACTCCGTACTTGACTTTACCAGCGTAGTGTCTGATGATGAAGGCGGGCTCCATGACAGCAGGGAACTCGATGTAGCTGTTTCCTTCATGCTGACGCTTGAACTTGTCCAGCAAGGTCTGATTGGAAGCCTGGGGGAAACTAGAAGGAACAAGGATTTTAATCAGGGCGCAGGTTCAAAACACAAATCACAGAGACATCGAAAACTAAAATCCAAGACTCTAAAATGAATAAATCTCAGACTTAACGTACCACAAAACTTTTTGTCTGGGAAACTCTTCAGTGGTTAGTTTGCAATAGCTATTTGTGTCTCTCCAAGAAGGCATTTTATTTATTCACTGTAAAAAGGGGGGCACTAAATACAGTAACACACACAACCTACTATTCAATCTCATGATTTCTTTTTGTTTCTGTCTACTTTTGACAACAAGGCAGAGACGTTATGAAGTCCAGTGAGACTTGAGTCACAAATTAGATAACTTGACAAAATCAAAAAAAGACTTGCAACTCTACTTGAACTTAAACACCAGTGACTCGTGACTTCACTTAGACTTGAGCCATCTGACATGAAAATACCTGATATCTTTCTCCTCCATTCATTTCCTAAATCAACTAACACTGACAAACCACCTGTCTTCTCTGGGCCAAGATGTGAACGTTGTAAATGAGAGGCGAAACATCCTCAAGAAACTCAAGCAAGTCCAGTTGCCTATGATATAGCACTTGAGATTACCATGACCTGGATGACTGAGATTCTTCAGGTGTCCTGTTAGCCGCAGAAGGCTGCCTGTAGCCCACACAAGAATGACTACTGTGGGTGACGGCATATGTCTGCAACACACTGTGTGTGTTCAAGTAAATGCAAGCATACAAATGATGTATAAGGGTTTTGAAGGGTTGTCCCATTTCACAGGGGAAGTTAGCCCTTTTCACTTGGTTCTGAGAGGCAGGGTGGCACTCAAAGTCGAGGGGGAGGGGTAAAAATAAGAAATGGGATTTGGCCTAGGTGATAAGTGCATTATGACTTGTTCAGGACTCAAAACTCAAAGTTTAGAACCTGACACTTGTGTGCAAAGACTTGAGGCTTGTGAACTCCAAAACACTGACTTGGTCCCACCTCTGCAAAGCAGCATCAGGGCAGCAGTGGATGATTACGTCCTGCATTTCTCAGAATTTAAGGAAAGAATACAGTGTGTCTAACTCCCCTCCCTTCACCCTCAGGGATTAAAACTCTGTCACAAACTTAATGCCATGCCTCAAATGTAACCAAAGCTGCAGCACATTCTTCCTCTGTGTTTTCATCTTTGCCTCATGCACATTTTATCCATTTACTACTGACCTCAACATACCTAAAGGGATGTTTCACATCATCTAAGCCTCTCCTCCCTGCACCTCTGAAACACTCTGCTGGCTGAAGTATATCCGCAGGGGTCTTAAAGCTTGATGCTGTTACTGTAGAAATGAACCCCCACACTCGCCCCCTACCCTGCAGTAACCTAATCCACTTCTCCAGAGGCCCCGAAGCCCCCATGAGTTCCACTAACTGTGAATGATGAGATCTCTAAGCGTCTTTCTTTCTCTCTGTGTAATCATTTAGCATGAAGCTCCTTCCTGTGGCAGCATAAACCCCTGGAGAGACCCTGTCCCCCCTCATTTCTTCTTTAGAGATCCCCCTTTGACCCTAATTCTCCAAAAGTCCCCCATCACTCCCACACACACACACACGTATATATATATTTCTATACACAAACATACACACACCATTTGGTCCATTCCAGGCGTTATTAGATCCAGATGAACCAGCTATGCTAAGTGGCACATAGGATGACAGCTAACATAGATAAATATGGCTGTGTGCGTACCGCCTGATGTGTTTTTATGCGAGGGGAGCGGGAGAGCGCTGGGTTTGATTTATGGAGGAGAAAGATGCAGAGGCAGAGTGCTGACCTGCAGGAGGAGAGCGCTTCACAATAGAGAGGGGAGAGGAAAAACGTGATCCAAAGATGCTGGCGGAGGAATTAGCATGTCTTCATGCTTTAGTGAAGCGCTAGTGTTAGTCCCAGTGTTGGTATCAATCAATCTAATGAGGAAAAGTCCTGCACAGGGAGCAGTTTGTCTCCTCGATTCACCAGTTGGGTGCTAAAGGTGCTCGTGCAGGGTGATATCAACAAAGCACGCTACAATGAAATATGTGCTGCTTTCCACAACATTCAGACAAGCTCGGGATGTAAATCATAAACATGGCAACTAAGGAGCTGGAAACCTACACAGGGAGAAAGAGCTTGAACCTTTACAAAAATATTCCAACCAAACATCCGCCAATGATAAAGTAGATTAAAAAAAAAATACAGGCCTGATTTTTCCACTAAAATACTTTGTCCTCACATTTGGTGATGATTCTTTAGATATCTTTTGATAATAGGCCAGGAGGTAAATAAAAACACTGGACTTCATCATCTGGGGACCATGTACACTCACTGGCCACTTAATTAGGTACACCTGTACAACTGCTCGTTAACACAAATAGCTAATCAGCCAATCACGAAGTAGCAACTCAATGCATTTAGGCATGTAGACATGGTCAAGATGACCTGCTGAAGTTCAAACTGAGCATCAGAATGGGGAAGAAAGTTGATTTAAGTGACTTTGAACGTGGCATGGTTGTTGGTGCCAGACAGGCTGGTCTGTCAGAAACTGCTGATCTAGTGGGATTTTAACACACAACCATCTCTAGGGTTTACAGAGCATGGTCCCAAAAAGAGAAAATATCCAGTGAGCAGCAGTTCTCTGGGTGAAAATGCCTTGTTGATGCCAGAGGTCAGAGGAGAATGGCCAGACTGGTTCAAGATGATAGAAAGGCAACAGTAACTCAAATAACCACTGGTTACAACCAAGGTCCAGCTCACCAAAACTGGACAATAGAAGATTGGAAAACATTGCCTGGTCTGATGAGTCTGGATTTCTGCTGCCACATTCAGATGGTAGGGTCAGAATATAGAGAAGAAGAGCTTTTGCAGATGGAGACTCAATGAGCAAAAAAGAGAGAGCTACATAGGAATATGTTAGTTTTATGGTTGAGAAAATGTAGTGCTAGAGGAAAGGGCTGTCTTATGGCAAGGTGAAGCAGTGATAATATATTAAATGTAGCTTACACTTTAAGTAATATTGATTTTCTTAAGTGGCTAAAATACGTTTTGCTGCTGCCCCTGTCCACAGCAGTACATTGCTTAGTGTCTGTGTCAGTATCCCTGCCTGCTTCTCCAAACAGGAGGCATGTGGACTGACATCTACTGTAGGTAACACACTGATTATGGATAAGTACCACATAAAACCCCACTTCAAAAGATCCAAATCATCTCTTTAAAGCATGAACATTTCAGCAGGTGGCGTACTTGCACTCCTCGTCCAGCAGGTGGAACAGCGCTGTGGGTTTCTTGCTGATGAGGTTGAGGCAGCTGCTGTTGTCGATGTATTCGATGTTGTGCCAGGTGATGCCCTCTGCCCTGTACTCCTCCTGCAGGGGGGAACAAATGAAAAACGACTTTGGGTCAGCAAATACTTGAAGGGCAAATGATTTACAAGTTCTGTCAGAGAAAAAGGCATCATGTTGATGTTACTGACTATTTTTAACCTTCACTTGAACAAGACTTGACTCAACACTTTGCAGTTAAGTAGGTTTCAACAACTATCATACCAGGTGACACACCTGCTCTCATCTCGACTAAGAGGAACCCTGACTATTAGAACAAGAAGTAAAGTGTTGCTCACATGCAGCATAATTTATTATACTTCTGCAGTTTAAAACCAAAAAGTCAGAGCAATGCTTACACAGCACTAAAAACCTGAATTCCCACAATGAAAACACCTGTTGGCTTGTAGATTATCAGTAAACCACAGTCAGTTGGTAACGTCTATGTGCCCCCAGGGGCCAATGACAAGGGAGGTATATGACCCATGTCCTCTAAAACCCCTAAGGGCGAAACCAGTGAGAGACGCCAGTTACAATCCAAACGCCAGCTGGGAGAAGAAGTAGAAGAGGAGGTTTAAGGATTAACGGTCTCCTCTCTCTGGAAAGCTACTGTTGAGGTACATCTGAAGGTATGTAAACAGCTCCTGCTCCAGCAGCTTCCCAGATCACAGTCTTACTGCTGGAAAAGAGCATGCACACTCAGCAAACTGAAGCACAACAGTTAAACTGAAGGGTCAGCAGTGGTGAGGCGTGGAGACGAGCTGAACAGAAATAGAAGAAAAGGAGGGTGTATGTTTGAGAAAAATCAATAACAACAATGATTAAAGCGCTTATAGCAGATGCTAGATGCTGCAGTGTTCATTACATCCCCCAGAACCAACTGATGGAAATAACATCACAGTGCTAATTTTGATGTTCTTACAGTGCTGCCAGTCGTTTGATGAAAGGCAGTGGAGTCATAACAGATAAAAGGATTTATCCCTCTTGGGAGTATGAGTGTGCTCAGAAAATATTATGTTAATATGCACATTAGGTTATGTAATATCTTGTGTGCAACACTGATAAATAGTTCCTCTTAGGACTATAACTGCACTCAGAGCATTTCATGGTGTTTCACACTAATGTGTCTTCAGTATAAATGGGAATGTTATGCAGATGGTTGCAGTGAAGTAAAGGGGAAAAACATAGAGTCTCATCCCATGGGTAAAATAAATTTGATTTTTTTTTTTAAACTCACTGAGAAATTCAAATTTCCAATTGTTCAAAAAATATGAAATAATAACAATAATAATAATAATAACAGCATGCATATCCAGACAATTAACACTAGGTGCTGGACAGAGCATGTGAAAGACGGGAAAACAGAGTCGACCCACAAGATAATACTTCCATGAGCATATATTTTATTATTATTAAGATATTTAATGTAGTCTTATTTACTTACTATTTTAAATTATTTATCTTTTAAACCTGTCAAAAACGAAAAAGAAAAAGAAATGCAAGTTTGTAAATGTGTAGAAATAATTTGTAGTTGTAGAAATAAATTATGTCTAAACTAGTCCATACCCATTGGCAGCTTTGTCACCTTCTACCTATGCCAATCCTCAATGCCAATGTGCAGTTTCACATAGATTGACCACGTCATTGAGTAGAAAAAAAACGTGGGACAGACAGAATGACTGACTGACAGAATGACACACTGACAGTTTCCGTGATTATGTACAGCATACCATACCATGACTTAGTCATACCAAAAATTAGAAAAAACAAACAAACATTGGTCCACAGGGGGAGCCACAGCGACCGGTCGTATTTTAGCCATTTTTAAGCATTTTTCTGTTGTTATAGCGCCACCCAGTTGCCAATTAGAGTTAAATTTCTCCAGTCACCTTGAGGCGTCCTGTTCTACATATCTACCAAGTTTAGTAAAAATTGATATGGCGGTTAGGCCTAGATAAGAAATTAGCTCTCTAGCGCCCCCGTTTTGTTTGATGGGGTCAATAATGGAGGGGTCCCCTCAGATTATGTGTGGTCATATGCCTACAAAGTTGCGCAGTGATCAGTGAAACCCTTGAGATATTATACACCTTTATGTAATGAGCCACACCCTCCGCAATACTCATTGCCTTATAGAAGCTCAGTTTTAGTAAGTTTTCCAACTTTTGCCAAGAGGGAACTTTAGATATTGGTCCCTAGATTATGTTCACCGAGTTTCATGCGGATCGGTCAAACTTCCTAGGAAGAGATCGATTTTAAGTGAGGCAAATTTGTTCCTCATGGTGAGAGGCATCTCTGTGCAAAGTTTCATGTCTCTACGACATACGGGGCATGAGATATGCCCATTCAAAGTTTGTTCAAAAAATTTTGGCAAATTGGGAAGACGATGGGGTCCAGAAGCTCATGCCCTCCGAGAAGAGGACGAGATCAGCCATAAAACAGGGAACAGACCATGGAACAGCTGATGCATATGTTATATGTCACACTCGAGGCAGACGCTTTTGTGTTACAACTCCATGCAACCTATGATCACACACTGGAGCGGCACAATGCAGCCGTTGTTTGGTTCTGCGTAAAAATGCAAAGGAGGCATAAGGAAGGGACTCTGAGTGGCCCTATAGTGCAATGTCAGCATAAAAAGGGCAAGAGAAGAAACTGTAATACAGAAACAAGGAGACAAACTGTAAGCCGCAAAATCTGAAGTTGTAAACTCAAGAAAAAGCCAAAGAAAACAGGTGGATTTTAAGATGATTTTTGGTGGTCAATTCTAAATTCAAAAGGGAGCACAGGGGAGTCAGCACATCATTAGGAACCATCCTCTTGGAGCCATAAACATCAATAACAAATTACATGGCAATCTAGTCAGACTACATCAACATATCTTGCTTTGGACAAACACTTGGACTGACATCTGCATCCTTAAGAGATTGTTGACCGCCTCCTTCCCACCACACCCCTCTGATGTCAGAACAAAGAGGGACTGCATCCGTAGGTTTTTTTGAAACCAACAATCTGACGCTCACACTCACGTCACGCTGCGACTGGTCAGGTATGCGGCAACACATCTTATGAATGAGTTCACTTCAAGCAACCCGGCCTTCAGGCAGCCACAGAGCAACCAGCATGCTCAGGAATGTGCATAATGACCGGGGCTAACCTTAAAATAGCTGTAAATATGACTGTGTGTGTGCGGGTACATGTGCGTGACATACAAGTTTGTGTGTTAGAATGTGCATATTGTATATATTCATCCATGTGGCGATGTATATATGTCTCTACATCTGCATGCTCGTACTCTTTTGCATGTATCCGTGTATTTTTGACCTCTGGTAATGAGGAAAAGAAATGTAAAATTTTTTGATAATCAGTTGAGACCTAATTACTAAAGTGAGACAGCAGTCAAGTATTCAAAGCAGCACCGGAGGACACATTTACACATGCGACACGTCCGCCCTCTCCTCTGTTTTTAGGCTGCTGAATCACTGACGAGGCATTCAGAACATGTGGCACGTTTGGTTTCATTCAGAGGTTGCACCGGATCCAAGAGATAGAAACAGAGTCATTAAAAAAGTGCATGTGCTTTCGTTTAAATCTCATCAAGCCGAGCACTCACAGATAACTGACTCAGTTCATCTGGCGCACTTTGTTGTGTCTGCGAGGGAGTTTGTGAACACATGTGTTGACTCAGAGAGACAATCAGATAAGGAGATAAACACACATACACTCATCAGCCATTTTATTGCGTACACACATTCATGTAAACAGATCTGTCCTGCTGACAGACAACTACAAAACTGTGACTCAGTATGCGAGGCACGCAACGAAGGTGGCTCAGTTACGGTTCGACTCAACAGCAGAATGGCAGAGTGGCTGCGAGCGGAGTTTCATCACTAAGTGCCAGACATGCCAGGTACAGCAATTTACTAACAGCTGCTTTAGGAGACAAGTCTTCACATTTTCATATGACTTGTGACGTCAGCAGCTGCTACTGTCTGAACTCAAACAATTAGTTATTGTTTATAACGTTGTCTATTTTAATAATTGATTGTTTTTGTTTTGTCAAGCAGAAATAACATTTCATCAGATGTGAACATGTGAAGCTTTCCTTTGTCCTACATGATAGAAAACTCAATGTTTGGGCATTTTTCTCTATTTTCTGACATTCTTTAGACAAAATTATTATAGGTGGTTCCTTTTTTAAGATTTATATATCATTAGCTTTTCAGTAGTGGTTCTTATGTATTCTAATCCGAACATTCAAATGTTGGTTTGAAGTAGCCTACATATGTTTTAACATCAAAATGCTATTTTCCCAGGCCCTATGTCGCCAAGGGGCCGCTATGGTTTAGGAAGTTGAGTGGTCCTCTACTAATCAGCAGGACGTGGTTTGTGCTTCAATGATTATCTTATGAGCAGGTGGCAACTCATGTGGTAGTCTCAGCCACTTTAGACCCTTTTACTGTTAGTAAACAGTATGACTTTTTTGGTGGGCGGGGCTTGGCTGGAGGCAAAACAGTTGTCGACATAGCTAGCAAGTTTTCTTGGATTGTTTTGGCGAATGGAGGAAGATGATGCAAGTGCTGCATTGCTGGAGTGCACAAACTGGACCGTTTGTAAATTCAATGCGCTGACAGAATGTACCATTCGGTTATCCAGAAAACTGCACTCTCGGAGTGGCAGAGCGCTGAGCGGAGTGAATGTGTGCTTAACTTAACCATTCGTTATTTCATGTAGAAATATAACGCTCTGTTTCTTCGGCCAACAGGGCTCTCATTTATAGCATCCAGACGCTGGGTCTCTGCCCAAACCAGATCCAAATGTGCTGGCCATCAATCAATAAAATGAATGCAAACATGACGTATGCCTATGCCTAGGTCACTTCATCCTAACAGTGTAGAGCGTCAGACTGAATTTACGAACTCACCATGTCAGGAAGCTTTGTGGCTGATTACTCTGCCAATCTTACAAAGGAGGACAACACTTGAACAATTTCCTCCAGTGTGTTTTGCTATCGAAGCTAACGTTAGCTAATGCGCTAAAAAGTTAGC